ATTTACTCGGACTATCTCGGTTATAGTAGGTTTATATTTAGGTAGATAAATAATAAAAGATATCGTTAGATTAGGGCGTTATTATCTAATCGATCGGAGGAGAAATTAGTTTTCGAGAATTATAGTCGTTCGAAAATATACTATAATTTTAGATATATATCCTAGGTAGACGAACTAACTACTATCTATTCTACGATATTACAAGTTAACAGTTTTAAGAACTAAATACTAACCGAGTTAATCGTAGTATTTTATTACGTATATAATAACTATATATAAACTAGTATATAGCCTAATAAGTCCGTATACAAGTCCGTTAGTATTATAACGTAAGAATATATCGGATTACCTCGACAATAGCTAGATTAGATAATAGTAGACTACTAGGTAAGTAAGAATATACTAGACTAAGATAGCTAAGGCTACGATAACGGTATAGATAGTATACCGGACGTCCTAATAGACGATATACGATAAAATCTAGTTAGCGAGATATAATAGTCGAGCTATATCTAGGGATAGATAGCGTAATTAGGGTTCGAGCCTTAGTAGCGTTACTATACTACGACCTATAGCTAGTAGACGTATCTGCTATAACCGCAATTATAATACGAGAGTGCTAACTATTTTACTAGCTAGCAAAAGTAATATAGATAATATAGTTTACTATCTAGTAAACCGGTTCGTATCTAATCGTCGTTTAGTAGATTAGCCCTAGGTTATATAACGCCTAAGTCTCGTATAATAGAAGTACTAGATATAGAAATTCCGGTAGTGCTATAACTATATATATTTACCTCCTATACGTAGCTAGCGATGTTTAGCGGTACTACGGCGTAGTATCGACTATACTATATATATAAGTAGGTTAACGTATAAGATCTCTATAAATAGCTTATATCTAATAATACTCGATCTAGCCGACTCCTTTACTAATAGGTTCTAGTATTTTAATATAGGTATTGCGAGATAGGGAAAAACCGGTAGATTGTCTAGTAAGTATACCTACGTTAAGTTATATAGGGTATAATCCGACTTAACCGAGTATATTCTCTACTAGCGAGATCTAACCTAACTACTAAAGAAGGCCTATAGTTAGTGCGATAGTATAGAAACTAAGCTAGTATATCGATTAGTTAGGGTATTAGCGTACTCGCTAGGATAATAGATATAAAGTAGATACTAGTAGTAAGAAATAACCCGGGTAAGTAGCACTTTATTAGCTACCGTCGATAGTATATATAAATACAAGGCGAGAGAGCTATAGTATTAGCGCTCGACCCCTAAGTAATAGTAAGGGCTAGAGAGAATATAAGAGATTATAATAGATAATATATAACGACGTATAAGGAGATATTAAATTAAACCTAACTTATATACGCGGATTTTAAATACGACGCCTAGATCGAAATACGGTATAGTATAACCGCGCTATTCGAGTATACTAGAGAGAGTATATAGGCGAATAGTATATTATAAAAGAAATAGTATATAATAAGTAGAGGCAGACGCGTAGATACGAGCGGTATAGTAAAATTTAATCGAGTTTACGTACGGTTCTAGGAGGACGTAAGGTAGGATCGGCTATAATAATAGATAAAGTAGCGATACGGTAGATAGTCTAATATATATAGCGAGGAAAGATATAAGAGAACGTCGGTTCTAGAGGTTATCTATATCCTACCTTTATCCGATTTCGCCTACTAAACTACTTAAGTACGTCGCTATTCCGAAACTTCTCTCTACGGCTAGCTATCGCGTAGATACGAGTAAGACTACCGAGATAGCCGACTACTAAATATTAGCGAGTTATACTAAGCTAGGGCTAGCGACCGGTAATATAGCTAAGTATTATAATAGAATATTAATACGACGATAGTTATACGAGCGACCGCTACTACTTCTATAGTATAACTAGGCGAGCTTCTCGGCGGAGGAGAAATAGTTATATTACGTAGAATATATAGCGTTTTTATTTATATAGGAAATATACTATTATAGAATAGAAATAGGGAAATAGCGACTAGATAAGTTAGCGACGTAGGCGCGGGTTAATAGGCCTAGCGATTAGGTAGATAGTATACTAGTAGGTAGTAATATAATAGTAAGTAAGGGTATAATAGAAGTTAATAAGAGAGTAATAGATAGATTAAGTAAAAGTATAATAGAGGTTAATAAGGAAGGAATAGGCGGACTAGGCGAAGGCTATAATAAATAGGGGATAAGCGAAAGGAGGAGTATAGAGGAAGATTTATCGGCTAGCTAGGTAGTATAAGGGCGAATAGTAAATAAGGAGTAGCTAAGTATAGAGATACTAGAGGAATAGATCGTAGATATAGTAGTAGCGATAATAAGTCTATAGGTAGAAATACTCTAACGAAGGGCGATAATACTATTAGTATATTATCGTTAGTAGGTTAATATATAACGTAGGCGAAAGGCGACGAGGAGGCAGTTAGGGTAAGGATAGAGAGAGTAGAATATATCGAGTAATAGTAGTTCGGTATATAGATAGTTTATATTTTAGATCTCGACTAACTACGCTCTATTTATATTTAACTTAAGCGGTCTACCGATATAGGTAAATGCTAGCTATAACTGTTTAGTTATATACTCTACTTCTAACGTCGGTAGATATCTTATACTATAGCGTATAAGCGTAGCGACGCTATAGCGTTATTAATTTAATAAGGATACTAGTATAATAATATCGTTAGTAGATTAGAGACTATTACTCCCGCCTAACTACCGAGTTAATATAGCGATAATATAGCTACGTACCGACTATTTCGCTAGACGGAAAAGTAAATAGTACGACCGGTATATTATTGTTTTTTTTCTAGCTAGCGAAATAGTTAGCGTCTAGAATTCCTACTCTATATAGTTATTAGCGGGTACCGGATCTAGTTAAACGTTCCTAGCTAGAACGTACTCGATAGCGATAGCGTAGAGACGAATACCTTAGATAGCCTTTTCTCTATCCTATATAGTACTCTAAGTTATCTACTCGAGGTATTCCTCTAGCGTTTTAAATTAGTACTAGAATTTATCCCGGATCTAAGTAGGACCTATCTATAGCGACTAGAATACGCTAATAGCGACTAGCTATATAACGTCTAGCCGTTAACAACTCCGTGTTTGCTTACTATATTCCTAGTATATAGTAAAAGGGAAATAGTAGTAGAAGTAGATATAGTACCTCTTAATCGGCTTAGCCTAGAGCGCTTGCCTTTTCTTCGTAACTACGAAGTTAGCGTATAGGCATTAAGAGAATTAGTATATAGGGAGGCAGGGATTAACGAAGTAGTAGATAGTATATAGTTATTAGATAATAGCGAGATTATAGTCGAACTATATTATACTACTAGCTTCGTTTTACTAGATATACTAGAAATAGGCGGTCTACCGACGGATCGCCTAAGCCTATAGCGTTTCGGGCTAGGTTAGAGGCAGTACTAGTCGGTATATATATCGTTAGTAGAGCTTATTACTATCGTCTAGGTTAGATATATACGTTAGGCGGAATTAGGGACTATCGAGGTAATTAGATATAATTAGACGCAAACATTTACCTACGCGAGTATATTACTATATAGCTTACCTCTCGCGCTACTATATATAGCTAACGTTATCTACGTAAGGGTATTAATCGAAGCTAAGCTTACTCTAGTCGACCGTTACTAGTATAGTTAGTTTAGTTAGTAGTAGGAGGTAAGATAGTACTAGCTTTCTATCTCGCCTAGCGCGACTAGACTATTATATAAATAATATTAGTAAGAGTAGGAGGCCGACGTAGATAATAATCCGGATATATAGTATATCGAATCCTTTACTAAGTATAGGAGTAGCGACGAGAAATAGATTATTAGTACTATTAAGCTAGGTATCGAGTAGCTATTCTTTCTCGCTAGTAGTTCTACTAGCGGCGGTAAAGTATAGGCAATTAATTTCCCTCGCTAGCTACTTAGCGTAGTCGAGACTATATACGAATACTAGAACGCGATCGCTAGATACGAATATACTCGCCCTAGGTTACTTTCTAATAAGTCGTATAGCTATAAGTAGTAACTATACCTACTAGTATAAGGAAATACGATATATAATATTAGCGCGATTAGTACTCCGCTATACTATTATAGGCTAGGCGATAACGTTACGCTATAGGAATTTAGGTTCTATTAATAGTAGTAGAGTAGTAGTTAGGTAGACGACCTAGGTACTAATCGACCTAAGATAGCTAAATTAGCGAAAGATAGAGTAGTATAGCAACGCGGTTATAGTTAAATAGTACTCGTCGACGAAGATATAATTAAGCTAGTTCTAGACCCCGAGACGCCGTATATATATAATAAATTAGGTAGAGTAGGCAGCCTTAGCACTAACTAGGATAAGAGAAGCAGGGCGCTCTATTCCTAGTTACTATACTATATAGGACACTTTAGCGGCTTTAAGTCGGGTAAGTATATTAACTTATAGAGTAACTAGAGGAAGGATAAATATAGTAGTCCGCGTACCTTTTATATAGTAAGGAACTATAAAGAGAAGACTCTTACTAGCGCTAGTACCGAGGACGACGAGTAGTCGAGCCTCGAGAGAGAGGATCTATTATATAGCGGTCGCTTAACTCTCGCTCTTCTACTATAGCCGCGGGTTTTATATAATTTCGCGCGCGTACTATAGGGCTTTATCGAGGGTAAAGATAGGGGCGAGACTACTATTCTCGAGTACTAAGAGGTTACTAATAGAGCTACCTAGCGACGGCTAGGTCCTCTAGTAGCGAGTAATAGCAGTAGGAAGCTAGAGGAAGTTTAACTAGATATAAGACGCGCGGTACCTGCCTTAGATTAAGCTATCCTATAAGTTAGACGACGCGGCGAATAGATTAGCGTTAGTATATAAAATATTAGTAGTATAGAGACTATAGTTACGCTACCTAGCTATAGCTACCTCTATATTATCGACCTTGTCGTCTTCGTCGTCTACGTCCGATTAATCGAAGCCTACGAACTTGCTAAAGAATTTCTTAACAATAGCAATAGAGAAGTAACGCTACTCGCTAATACCGAAGGCAGGTAGGCTAGCGGCTATAGTCTATCGACGAAGGTATCGGGTTATAGTATTATCCGACTAGACGAGGTTATTCTTAGACTAGAGGAAAGGACTAAGCATCTATCCGGAGTTAGATTAATACTAGTAGAGCTCGCGAAATAGTTAAATATATATAAGGTAATCGATAAGTAGGCGGCCGAGCTTAAATAGGAAGCAGACGTTTTGTTTATTATTTAGCTTCTAGCGGAGCTTAGTATAGGTTAGGTAAATTATAACGCATCTATTTTAGATAGTAATAGAGCGGACCGACTAAGTATTACGCTATATCGCTAAGAAGAATTCGGGTTCGCGGGCGGGCTAACCGCTACTAATAAATATAAGAACGCTAAGTAGCTAAAGGAACTCTTAGACGTAATACTTATATACGCCGACTACCGAGCTAAAACAGAGTATATCTAAACTAGCCTCTAAGTATAAATATAATAAAGCCGGATTACTAGTAATAGCGTTAATAACGAACGTCCGAGCTAGGTTAACGATAGTAGTATTACGCTTATCCTAGAGGAAGCTAAAGTAGATAGTAGTTTCTTTAGAGCGGTTATAAAGGTCGGTAAGGGGGATAGAGTTATATAAAAGTCCGAAAAGAAGGTCGCGCCGTAGGATCTTATACGCCTATCGATAGTAATACTCGAGTAAGGTAGTTAGGTCTATAACTCGTAGTACGACGTCCCTAAATTAAACGGATTTACCGTTAGCGGCCTAGATAGCCTAATTAGTCGATATATAGTTGCTAGTAAAGGCGAAGAGGGTACTACGCTAGCGGACAATTTCTTAGATAGCGGTCTCTCGCGTAAAGAGTAACTCTATCTTATATTTAATAGCTTCTAAAACTTCGTCGTCGCGGTCGAAGCCCTAGTTATAATACTAGGAGTAGTTAAATACGAGGAGTTGCCCTATCTAAATAATAGCGGAGAGATAGTAATTAAAGTCGTTCGGCTCCTACTATATACCTAAATATAGTTATACCGTATAAAGGGCAAAGTAGCTAAGAAGCAGAGAGTAGAACCGATAACTACTAATTAGATACTAGAATAGGGAGAGTAATAACTAGGAAATAAGAGGATATAGTTCTAGTTCTTCCGTCTTAGTAATACCGCTTTAGACGCGGTCGCTAAGTTTATTCTAGAGTTTGCGCTATTCGTCGGTTAGTATTACTTAAATAGGGCTATAGTCGACTTTTTTATCGACTTTATTACTTACTTAACTAGCGACTTCGGTATCGACGTCGTTATTAAGTTTATCGGTAGGCGATATTATAGAAGGGAAAAATAGAACTTTAGGGGAGATATAACGAATAAAATATACTAGCGCGTATAGTATAGCGTCGGCGTATTTAATTTCGCTTAAGCGAGTTTTATAGCGCCGAAAGCGAAAATATTTATAATAGTCGGACTTCTATATTATATTATAAAAGTTAGCAAGGGCTTACTTACGGGAATCGGTAAGGTTAAAATAGGGGCTACTTTCGCTATAATACCTTATCGTATAAGAGAACGCTTAGCGAGCGATAGCGATAACTTCTATAGTATAGGGCTTATTATCTTTTTTAGGAAGATAGATAGTAGCCTATATTTCGTCTTTATAGAGTAAGATAACGTAAAAGTCGATAAAGAGTTACTAAATCTAGGGGAGGAGGGTAGATACGTAGGCTAAGCTATCGTAAACGACATTTCGATCCTTATTAAGTTTCTTCTAGATATTAGCCTAAGCTTTAATTAGGGCAGACGCAAACTAGTTATTATATAATAAAAGGGGAATAGGTACTATACGAGCGCGACGATAGACCTAGAATAGGCGATTCTATCTAGGTTCGTACCTAGCTTTAGGATAGAAGAATTGCTATATATAGATATTACTCTCCTATAGGCGATTAGGTATCTCTTATAAGCGGGCTTTTCTACTACTACCCTAAGTCTAAGTATTAGTCTACTTATATCGTATTTTATAATACTCTTATATCGAGGTATATAAGTAAAAGATAGCTATATATTATTTGCCCTATTCGTCGATAGTAGTATATTAGAAACAATCGAAGTAGAGCGGGAACTCTAGGGCTTAATCGTCGGTTAGCTAGGGCTAAATTACCTAGTTAGGTATTATAGCAATATCGGGGAATAGCTCGAATTCTTTAATAAGAAGGCGACGGATAGTAATAGGAATAGTATATCGATATTAGCGGCTAAGGTAAGCGTAAAAATAGTAAGAGGGTACGGCGTATTAGTAAGTTACGTACTTAATAATACGATATTAAGGAAGATAATAGAAGTAATCCTCGAAACGGTGTCTTTCCGGTATATAGGTCCCTAGGTATTAGGAGTAGTTCTTATAACCCTAATAATCTCGATCGTAATAATATATTAATCGCGAGAGCGCGTTAATAGACGTATATCTATCGCCTCCTTTATAGACTAAAGTAGTTAAGGCGCGGATTGTCTAACCTAAACTTTAATAGCATCTCTATATAGGCTATATCTACTATAAATAGTATATAGGAAAATAATAAGGCGAAGGTTATATAGAATATAACTTAGTATAGCGTAGGTATAAACTAGTTAGAAATCCGGGTAGGCGGTTAGAATAGATAGTATATAGCTACGAGCTAATCTGCCTTAGGATAGTAGGGAGCTATATACGTATATATTACGGGCTTCTAAGCGAGGCGGTCGTAAGATTAAGTAAAAGGTATAAGATATAGACTACTTTACTAGCTAGAAAACGGGTAGATCTTTCGCTATATAGTAAAATAGTTAGTATTTATATATATTAGATATAGGGACGGTATATAGTAGGAATAGAGTAATTAAAGTTTATATATACAGTAGCCGGCCTAACGTAGCGAGACGCTCTCTAATATTCGGTAGTAAAGTATAGGTAAAGTCTATCTACTATTTGCGGTAGTAGGTATAGTAGGCTTCTATCCCTTCTTTACGGCTAAGCCGGCGACATTGTAAACGGAGCTCTAATCTATCGCATATATTAAGAAAATTAGAAGCTATATCTCTATCTATATTAAGAGGATTGTCCTAGGTACCTTTCCCTCCTTCGTTATCTAATACCGGTATATCGGGTTCTACGCTATCGTCTTCTAGCTATAAATCTAGTACTAGTATATTACTACCCGCTTTAACCCTAGGTTTCCTTAGATGTTTTTTATATAAGGCGCGTAATAGGTATTTTTTCGGCGCTAGTAAATTGCGCCCTATTTTAAAGCCTTAAAGAACGATATAGTCTTTAGGAATGTTAGGTAGGTAGGCCTATATCGTACGTTCCTTGCTAGGTTTCGGTTTATAAGCGTCTCTTATAGTAGTAATATTACTACTAGTAATAAAATCGTAAAGAGCGCTCTTCCTCTTATTAACGCGACTATTCTAGGCTTCCGCGAGCCTCTTCCGTTTACCTTATATCTAGAAGCGATAGGCTTCTTCGAGACTAAGTCTAATCCGAGTAGTAGCTACAATATCGGCGAGAATATGTTTAGGTACTAAAAGTAGAGCGCTAAACGGAAGCCGGACAAGCTCCGAGGCTTAAGTAAACTAATCTTTACCCTAGGCGGCTTCGATAATACGGTTACTTACTCGGCGGGAGGCGTCTATAGATATTCCGAGGACGACGGCGTAATAGATTAGACCGTACTAGTCGAGGCTTCGAACGAAGGCTTAGGATATACGGAGTAAAGGATTAGTACTAGTCTCCTAGATCTTATACTATAGAGCGTACCGCTAGAGTATAGTCGCCCTAACCGAGTTACTCTCGATAGAATTACCGATCTATTCGAATATACGCCTAAGTATATCTGCCTTCGTAGTTCTAGGTTCGTTAGGTCCGCGTAGGACTTTAAGAGCTATTACGTTCTCGTCGGTTAGTTTCTATACTATAAGGAAATCTTTATACTACGCGGGGGTAATAAGATTAAGTCGGGTCGATATATCTCTATTAGACGCGCGTTATACTTATAAAGAAGAAACCTATACTTATATATAATAAAGGGGCTAGTAATCTGCTATAACAGTAAGGTAATAGTATAAAGTAATAAGCTACTAATAAAAAGAATAGATTGTCTAGTAGCTATATTTACGCTAGGATAGATTAGCGAGACTTAGGACGCGAAGGTAGATTGTCTAAACTTTATATAGGAGCGACGTAAAGAGAGTCGTATATAAACAATACGTAGGCATATAACCGACTCTTAGGGGTAACGAGAAGAAACGGCTACGGGCGAATTCTACGGCCGTAGGCGAGGTCTACTAATAGAAAGCAAACGTTTTAGTACAAACATTCTAATATCCCTACTTAGTGTTTAGAGGACGCACGGCCGCGCCTACGCTATATACTCGAATATTGTAATACTAGAATGTTTAGCTCTAGGATCTATAGGCTACTTAGAAACTTAGTATTACTAGTATAATACTCCTAGGTTATAGTATAATACGTAGTTATACGTAGAAGTAAGCGTTTCTATCGCTAGTTATAGCTAATTAGCTCGCGACCCTAGTCGTGTCGCTAGTTATAGCTAATTAGCTAGACCCCTGCCCCCCTACTATACGCCTATCCCTAACTCTATAGCTACGTAGGGTATTACTTAGAGATTTTACTTAAATTACTTAGACACCTTAGCTAATTTATATATAGACTAAGTACTAAATATAGTAATAGACTACTTAGAAACTTAGTATTACTAGTATAATACTCCTAGGTTATAGTATTATACGTAGAAATAAAAATCTCGTCTTCGAAACCCTTTACTTTATTACTTAGAGATTTAATTTGAATTACTTAGACACCCTAGCTAATTTATATATAAACTAAGTACTAAATATAGTAACAGACTACTTAGAAACTTAGTATTCCTAGTATAATACTCCTAGGTTATAGTATAATACGTAGAAATAAAAATCTAGCCTTCGAAACTATTTACTTTATTACTTAGAGATTTCATTTAAATTACTTAGACACCCTAGCTAATTTATATATAAACTAAGTACTAAATATAGTAATAGGCCACTTAGAGACTTAGTATTACTAGTATAATACTCCTAGGTTATAGTATAATACGTAGAAATAAAAATCTAGGCTTCGAAACTATTTACTTTATTACTTAGAGATTTCATTTAAATTACTTAGACACCCTAGCTAATTTATATATAAACTAAGTACTAAATATAGTAATAGGCTACTTAGAAACTTAGTATTACTAGTATAATACTCCTAGGTTATAGTATAATACGTAGAAATAAAAATCTAGCCTTCGAAACTATTTACTTTATTACTTAGAGATTTCATTTAAATTACTTAGACACCCTAGCTAATTTATATATAAACTAAGTACTAAATATAGTAATAGGCCACTTAGAGACTTAGTATTACTAGTATAATACTCCTAGGTTATAGTATAATACGTAGAAATAAAAATCTAGGCTTCGAAACTATTTACTTTATTACTTAGAGATTTCATTTAAATTACTTAGACACCCTAGCTAATTTATATATAAACTAAGTACTAAATATAGTAATAGGCTACTTAGAAACTTAGTATTACTAGTATAATACTCCTAGGTTATAGTATAATACGTAGAAATAAAAATCTAGCCTTCGAAACTATTTACTTTATTACTTAGAGATTTCATTTAAATTACTTAGACACCCTAGCTAATTTATATATAAACTAAGTACTAAATATAGTAATAGGCCACTTAGAAACTTAGTATTACTAGTATAATACTCCTAGGTTATAGTATAATACGTAGTTATATATAGAAGTAAGCGTTTCTATCGCTAGTTATAGCTAATTAGCTCGCGACCCTAGTCGTATCGCCGGTTATAGCTAATTAGCTAGACCCCTGCCCCCCTACCGCACGCCTATCCCTAACCCTATAGCTACGTAGGGTACCTTCTATATATCTCTCCTTAAACTATACTACTAGCGCGAAGGCGATAAAGCGCCTACTAAGTTAGAAGAAGTCTTAGCTAATAGTAAAGAGCTATAGTCTCTAGAGCGTATACTAAAGTATTAGACTAGGCAAGGCAAGAAGGAGTACTTATTAAGATAGTAAGGCTATTTACCTAAATAGGACTTATAGGAACCTTAAGGTTCCTTTAAGGATATAACTAAGTTATTAGATAAGTATTAGACTAGTATAAAGAACAAGAAGAAGGCTAAGAGCTTATAATATCGCTAATATTACTAAAAGAGACCTAGGATTAATGCTATTCCCGGGATAATATTAGCTAACTAATTAGAGGCAAGTAATTATCGGTAAAGGATAACGAGACTATACTATAATAGCGAACGCGTACCGAGTATTAATAAGTGCGCTATAACGTATTAATTAATCGCCTACTCTTTTAAAGACCTTACTAATATACCCTATAAGGCCCCCCTCTTAGTGTTTAGGTCCCCCTTTTATTCCTTTATTCTATCGAGACCTCGGAACCTAGGCGATCGGTAAGGACAATACGTATATACGCGAATAATAATAATAATAGCGTCGCGCTACGAGCTAGCGGTATATCGGAAGTCGATACGGTCGCGTTAATAATAATATTATTATTAGTTAAAGAAGAAGATTAGAAGTAAGGTAAAGTTAGTACTAAGACGGCTAGCGCCGCTAGTATTAATATTACTTACTATTATTACTATACCTACGAGAATAACCTTACCTACGCTACGGCCTAAGGCCGGACCGTACTATACTAGCTAGGTTAAAAAAGGATTAAACCGTTCGAAGGGCTTAAGGCTTAATATATTAAGCGATTAGTATACTAACTAAGGGCAAAAATATAGAGCTAAGCTAGCTAGAGTCGATCTTACGAATAATAAGTTACTCCTCGATCTTTCCGGTCCTTTAAGCGAGGCGAATCTTAACTACTATACTTATAATAGCCTATACCTATAGAAACTAGACGAACTATATTTTAGAAGATAAGGTTAACAATTAAAGGCTACTAAACCTAACTAATTAGGGCTAGCGAAACTATAATAGTAAATAACCTTCGGAAAACAATAATAATAGCCCTTAGAACGAATATTACTAGGTCTTTTAGAGTAGACGTAAAGAAGTCGGAAAATACTATCTAGAATAGAGGCAGTACTATAATACCTCGTATACCTACCTATTATAGTAGGGAAGGCGCGCTCGTATTATAATTAGTTACTAGCCTTTAATTTATATAGCTATATAGCCCCTTATTATAACTATAATAGTAATAGCTTAGCTAGAAGTTAGATATTATAGGAGGTAAGGTTTAGATAGAATAATATAATCGGTTAGTTAAGCGTTTAATTTAGTATAGAGCGAGTTAGTTATTAGGCTTACTAAGTTAGTATAAGGAGATTAGAATAGAGATATAGAAGGCTATAAGGGCGCGGCCTTTAGAAGGGAAGCGTATATTAGAGGCTATACGTAATTAGTATATAACTAGCTCGAGTAAAGCTAGGGTCCTAATACCTTAGATAGGGCTTAGCGCTTAGCGCTAGACTAACTAGCCTACCTTCCTTCTTCTCCTCTTAGATCTCTATCGAATACTATACTAACCTACTACTACCCTATCTATCTACTAATATAACCCTTCTTATACTAAGGACCTACTTTATTAGCTAAAATAATATTAATAAAGCTTTATTTATAGCTAAAAGGTACTAAAAAGTAAAGTAGCTAGTAGTAGCTAGTAGTAGCTAGTAGCTATAAAGGCATATACCTATAATTTCTAAAGTAGAATATATATAAAAGAGCTATTAATAGACTAGCTCCGCTCTAATCGGATTATATCCGCGGATTAAGCCGGAGGTACGTACTTAGCTTATAAGCTAATAAGTTAAGCTAAGCTATAGAGGCTAGCTTGCTTAATAAGTTAAGCTACTACCTTAGAAAGCAAGCTAAGCTAAGCTAAGCTAAGCTAAAGGTGCTAGCAAGTTAAGCTAAGCTAGGGGGGTCTAGCTTGCTTAACTTGCTTATAGACCACACTGCCTAGCGAGAAGGTATCTGTATATGCAAGTGCAAGTCAAAGTACCAGCGACACAGTCTCGCAGATAGTGCGATGATTGTCATTTGGAAGTTCTAAGGGTATCATGCCAGTCATACACACCAGGGTATTGTACAAGTCCTCCCTAACGCCGACCGTCTGCATTTGCTTTCAATGCCAAACGTTGCACAATTTATGCTTCTTCCACTGTGGCATCTATCCAAGCGCATTACGTTCGTAGACACTTGTCATCGCTGTACTGGTTGCAGGTTGTGCTGAGAAAGAATGATCGCGCGCCAAGAGTCGATGCATGTCGACGTTTACAAGAAGTACTCTCCTCGGCCTTGCCTACCGGCCGGAACAGCTCTCCTGTGATCGGGCACGGCGCTGAAGATCTTGAAGTCAGGGTTCAAGTCTTCTCCCAAGGTCATTATGCTTGCGACATTGCCGCAGCGGTAGCAGTAATTCGGCGCGGACCAGACCGTAACGACGTCTTGCGATGCGAAGTGGTACTTGTATCCTTCGTTCACGAGTTGATGTGCGCGTGCGATGAGTTGGAGGTTGTTGACGTGGTTGAACTGCAACACAAATCAGTGCGGATGCCCGAGGCGGCTGTGAAGAGCGCACTCACCTCGCTCGAAACCTTGTCCCCAAAGAGCCAGCCGGCTCCTCTGGGTGACACAGCCCAGGTATCTACGTCTTCTGGATCACTCCAGACGAGATCGCAAAAGGCGCCTTCATGCGGGATTTCTTGAGCTCTTGCGACCACTCGTATTTGGTCGAGAGTTCTGATCTCCGGCGACAAGCCTCCATGAACACAAAGCACCTTCCCATCGATGATGGCAGCCAGGGCCAAGAAGTCGAACACTTGACAGCAGCTCTTCCACACGGACGCATTCCCGTACTTCTGCTGGCATTCTTCGTAGAAACCGTAGACCTGCGTGATCTGACGAGATTCGTGATTGCCGCGCACCAAAGTCACCTTATCTGGGAATCTGTGAAGCATTAGCAAAGTGTGTAGCAAGTGGTGCGCAGTATGCTTACTTGGCCTTCAAGCACATCAGCAGTGTGAATGTCTCCAGCGAGAAGTATCCTCTGTCCACAAAGTCACCCAGAAAGATGAAGTTCTGCTGTCCATTCGCATAATCGACGGCGTTCTTGCTCTTGCTCCTTGCTGGTCCAGGGCTCCTGACGCCAACACCGCTATCTTCGCTCGCCTCATCGTCTTCAATGTCTCCGTCATCGTCACCTTCTCCCATGCTCCTACTGCGGACTCTACCTCTTGTCTCTTCTTCGTCGTCGGCGCCAGCTTCGGAACCATCATTCGACGCGGCTGATGTATAAGCGCTGTCTCGCTGGAATCGCCTCTTCATCTTCCTCTTGACTTTCGGGTCTGTGATTTGCGTGGGAGGCTCAAGGTCGGCGGCGCTAAAGGAAGGCACGTTGGCGCCACCGCTGCTCATGCTACTCCTTTTCTTGCCAGCTGCCCGCTCTGTCGCCGCCTTCTCCGCCGCTCGCTGGTCCAGCTCTCCAGGCATGCCGCCAGCGACATGGAACAGCTCCAGCAAGTCATAAAACTGGCCATGGATATCTCCGCACACGGTGACCGGCGCTTTTACGGGCTGTATGTTGGACTCTTCCATGAGGCATTCCTTGACAATCTCGCACAGCCGTTTCATGTCGGGCTCGGGCAGGTAGCGGCATAGCTTGGCCTGCTCTAACCATTCGTCTGGTCCGGCATTGGAGGTCAAAGCCGCTGGTCCAGGCTGAGGAACATCTGAGTCTCTATCTCGCGCCATGCTTTCTAGGGTGTGTCTGGGACAGATGCGGTCTAGGGTGAGGAGGGTAGAGAAGGGAGCTGGAGATGGAATTCAGCCCGGCGTGGGTGCGAGTCGGTTCGATGTTGTGGATGCGCTGTGGAGGAAGTTCCGACCGGCGAAAGAGCTGTATGAAGCGCACGTGGGACAGGGACCCCGGGGGGGGGGGCGGTGATGGCCTCTCGGTGGGTGTCTGTATATCAGCAACTCGCGCTGATTGGCTTGACCCACTTTTACCCCGGTCCTACCCCCCACTTCGAGTTGCTAGCAACTCCCCTAATGAAATTGGTTAAAATGTGCTTCAAATTCGAAAGGGCTTTAGGAATATAGTAATTTCGAAGGTCGCTAGCGATAACTTAATAAAGCTAAAGTTAACGTGTAGTATAGCCGTTACGCTAAATCCGAGGTATATCTACTTGCTCTTACCTTATTATCTATTGCAGCCGCTGCTATTACCTCTATTATATAGATTACTACTAAAAGTCCTACTATTAAATAGCCGCTACTAGTCTTCTAGTAAGAATCGCCGGTCGTTAATAAATACGCGTACCTATTAGTTACTAAGTTATAATATATCGATTAGCGGCGACTATTATAGTATATATTATCGTAGGTCTAATAGCTATAGTATTAGTATATTCGCGACGACTATTAAATAGTAAAGACCGCTTAGTATAGTAGGCGTAAATAGAAGGCGCTATTAGTAAAGGACTTAGCGTATAACGTCTATTAAACTGCCGTCGTTTAAGGAAGATATACTATATCGATAGGTACCGTCGCCTACGTAGTATATATTCTAAAGTACCGAGTTAGTAACCTACGTAGGCTCGAATTGCGATAGCGGAGGCGGCTAGAACGACGGCGGAGGATAGTAGTAACTGTTTCTATACTAATTAGTATAGAGACTAGTCGCTATATACTCTAGTACGCGTTAAGTCGCTACGCCTAGCGTAAATAGGTCCCTTACCGGCGGCGGTCGTTATAGGTAGCCGTTATATAATATAGGCAATATAGAATAGGAAATATAGGAGGAATTTAGGAATAGTAGAGATATAGGTTTGCTAAGACTACGATTTGTATAAGGTTTAGCGGGGCTTGGTAGGGCTAGAGTTGCTAGCAACTCCGACTGGCCCGTGCCACGTCCGTGCCACCCCTGGAGTTGCTAATATATAGATACTCCTCTCGGTCATGAGGCGCACCGTCGTCGGAGTAGCCCGGGTGCTTCCTTTCGCCGCGGAGCATTCTTGGCAAGCCAAGACCCAAAGCCTGAGGCTCCAACACGTGAGCGTCTGAAAGGAGGCAGTCGCTATCTCGAGCTGACCGCGATCGATCCGATCAATCTGGACAAACACTATACATGGTCGTTCGTAGTTGGAAATGTGGCGTCAGCACATCCCTTGACAAGTAATATCCTGATTCCGATCTTGTTAGGCCTTTAAACCGACCTTATTCACACTACAGACAGCGGCCTCAACCCTGGACAGAAGCGCCTTTGCCGAAGTTGGCAGATCGTTGGGGAGAGCACATGGAGACAGCGTCGGTTCTGAAGGACGGCAGACAGTGAGAAACACAAGACAGCGCCTCCCGCTCTCTCCTTGTGCTCTCCCCGACGATCTGCCAACTTCGACCGAGTCCCTGGTCGAAAGTTCTCGCAAGATATTAGTCAAGTCTCTTGCGTGGAACTGGAGCGAAAGAAGAATCGTACATGACCTTGAAACGACTGCTCAGTTCAGAAAGAAAGGCGTTTCGGAGGACGATTGAAGACTGCACGTCCACGAGCGCAAATACTCCGGTGACCATTCTGCCCAGTCAGCGAAGCAGCTCTCGGGCTGTCAGACGTTCGTACACGCCATCACGACGAGGGAGCTACATCCAGCCGGCATTCTCCTGCCGCCCAGACGAAACAGGAGGAGGAGAAGGTAGAGGAAGTAGGATGCTGAGGTATGAGTGCTGACAACTATGAAACCGGCTCCTTCAAAACTGAACGGTCAATTGTTTACATCTAAGCATTAAAGCAATTCCTCAACTCGTGCATCCTGTAATCGTCTCACAGTCACGCAGACTTCGTCAAACCGAACGATCCAAAACTCGAAGCAATTCCTCAGCTCCTGCATAGATCAATCGCATTACAAGAATGCCTATAGTCATTCGCGTATGCACCGGGATGGCAATTCACCCAAGAGTCGCCCAACCTGCTACATGGAACGCAATCCCTTTTCAGAGCTGCGTAAACAATATATCGAATTTCCCCCTTATTCGCCAAGCGCACAGTAATTACATCGGTATCCTTATAGCCTAGCTTTTTCAGCACAGCAACAATGTCTTGAGGGACTGATGGTGGTATTGGGACCTCTAGATTTTAACAAGGTCGTGAGTCTGCGCCCTCCGAAGTAGTGGAATGTCTGAGGATGAGTAACCTACCTCTTGTTTCGAGAACTGGACTACCGAAGGCGAACAACGGTAGCACGAAGGCTACGAAAGACGCGATCTGGATTGGACGCATCTTATGTAAATGGGTGGTAGGCGGCGGAGTGAAAGTCGTAATACCTGAGGGCTGACTGCTGTATACCAAGCATTTCTTTGCGAGGAGACGGCGAATATAAGTAGTGCTTTGCGTGCTCGAAGGTTTCGCCTTTGCGGATAGCAAATGCCGATTGTCGAAGTACTCGCGTCTCGTCCAAGGAAGAATCCTTGGACTTTCCTTTTCTTAGCACATTTAGTGCACATCTTTGGTGTAGAGGAAAGCAAGGTAGTGCCACCCCACCTGCAGGTATACACTCTGTATAGCGTCCTATCGTATCGGAGTAAAAGTAGACACTTGTAGCCCGTAGAATTGAGCTGATTCGTTGCGAACTATAAAATCCAGGATTGGGGAATTTAGTGCTTTCACTCCGATAGGGCAGGACGCCGTGTGGAGCTAGCGAAGTACCAAGAAAGGCGAGAAGTGCAGCGAGATGTAAGGCACAGCCGAGCACGGAGTCTTCGGCAAGCCGATTCCTAGGTTCACGATAGACAAGGCACATTGGATTTGCAATTGGATAGGCATGCCGGTATCCCCTTAACCGCCTCCGTAGTTAAGTCCGAAGAACTGCTGTGTGAGATCTGGGCGGTCTGGTTGGTCAGATCCGCTTTGTATAAGTACGCACCGACAGAATTTGTATCAGAAGTGGGCTAGAATCCCAGTTTTGCCGGTGAACCCCGACAGCTAACGAGTTAATCAAGGGGATTCTCGGAGGGCGCGGTGCTAGATTTCCTAAAGATGGGGAGGACTGCAATACTTACTGTAACAGGGTCTGTAGGTAAGGGTAACGGATATCGGTTCTTCCAGTCGATCTATATATGGATTGCTTACCTACTCAGGGGCTCTGATTAATCTATATATAGATTGCCTAGCTGCTGGGTAGATCTGCTAATTGCTTCTATTGCCTTATAGTCTTTAATAGTACTTCCGATTGTGAAATGTAAAATAGGGGTGTAGAGCAGAGACAAGCGCTCTCTAGTAGACTGGCCGTCTATGCTAGCTGATGTTTAGTACGCTCTGATTGAGCGAGATGGCGGCCGGACTGTCCTCGGTGTTTTAGAAAGCCAGATCCTTTCTAAAGGCAAGTACAGCGTCTTGACGCATCGGAGTGAAAGTGGATACTAGCGGCCCGTAGAATCTGAGATTTCTGATTTGTTACGAACCATGAAGTCTAGGATTAGGGAATTTAGCGCTTTCACTCCGATGTACGTAGACTCTGTATAAGAGCCTTTCATATGGATTGTTGAGCTATGTAGTTGCCGTCGAGGGCTTGTGGTTGCCGTCGAGGGGAATATAGCCTATACTTCCCTCGGGGTATAGCTCTTTGATCATATAATAGCTTCTTAGCTTCTTTTCTCTTCACAGGGTGTCTGTCTCGGTGGATGTCGGTCGACAAGGTTGTGCCCTGGACCGGAGGTATGTCCCATTCATGCTGATTTTCCGGTGACATTCGAGCACGAAATGTATACGAGACGATGGTGGTTCGACCATGGGCATCTGCTGTCCGCAAAGGCGAATCCTTCGACCACAATGCTAATAATATCGGTATTCGCGCGCCGTTTCAAATCTTGTGATGAAATGCTCGGTACTTTGCTTGCAGTGGTGCCAGTCGTGCTGCGCGGTATGGTTGTCTTACGAAGGCCGGACGTCTTCTGTGCAGTAGTGGAGCATGGCCTTTTGCCGTCATGTACGACTAGCAAATGAAGAGTGCTTGAAGTTGCACGACGTACTCAGATACCTCAGCCTTCACCTCAAGTAAGATTGAGTATTTGGGTTTTGGATTTGCTGTTGGGGCTGCCGATGAAAAGAAGTCAGCGTGAAAGCGATTGCCGAAGTTTTGTACGATGCGCATATGCCTGCATGTGGGCTTGATCCGGTCAGCTGCAAAGCGCTTGTGACTTTCATCGCACAAGCGCAAGCCCGAGACCCCACATGAGCAAGGCCACGCCGAGTATGTGGAGGCAGCAGCATCTGCTGTACGCCTGTGAGTATCTGGGTAGCGCCAATGCCAGTAGCCAGAATCAAGTGAGCCGTGGCGTGACTGTACGGGCTGGTGCAACATTCAGCAACCTTTCGCTCGCCGTGAGGAGATGCAAGACTCGTGTGTCAATGAGCTTATTGTAGTGCGCCGCCTGAATCAGCAGACGGTCGGAGAACAGCGAAGCGAGACCGCCAGGAAAGTTGTTCGTGTAGCGTCGAGATTCAAAGAAATCATTTCCTTTCGCACGTGCAGCATCGGGCCGACGGTATGGGGAATGGGCGGTACAAGGGGCATTGTCGGGACAAGTGCAGCATGAGCTTGCGCATGGCCATGTGGTACAGAACATTATTATCTGGCTCTTTCGTCGCTAGCCCCAACCCCGGCAACTCTCTATTCGTCCTCGCATGTCTCCGGCGCGACGAACAGCGGCTAGTGTTGGAACATCTTGATCGCGCGTCTAGCCAGGCAGTCGGGTGTCTATCAATCTTCGCTTTCCGGAGTGTGCTTTGCGAGGCAGGAGGGGTGATGCTTTTGTGAATGGTCGGGAAAAGTGCAGACGGTCGCGTCATTCGAATGATTCACGATCCAGCCAGGACAAGCGGATACGGATATATCCATAGGCTCAAGAGATTGTTGGACGCTGGAAATGTCCGGCATAACGTGACTGGCGAACAAGCCAGAAGTGGTGGGTGAGGGAGAGTGAGGTGGGAGTGAGACGCGGCGGCCAAGACATTAGTAATCAGTCCTGCAAGCAGACCGCGCACGCCGTAGTGCTGGACTTCCACCTCTACCTCTTCTCGACCGCAGGCTGGACATTGCTATCAAAGCCGTTCGTGGGAGGCAGCTGGCGGCCTTGGCGCTTAGCAGCTGAGGACAAGATCAATACTTCCATCCGGCCTCAGTTATAAATGGGAGAGAATTCGAATGCACCCTATTCATAGGACTCGAGTCTCGGCTGCAGTTCTACCGCCTCCACCTCTCCCACGATGGCGAACCCCAGACAGGCTCTCCGAAGATCCTACGAGGAAGGCACGACCACCGAATACATCCTGCGCCTGAACAGGTCGTGGATCCTTCCTACGTCGGCACTGTTCGCATGGCGATTGCTTGCCAGCATCTGCGCATCGCATCCGCTGTGCTATTCTTGCAGATCGGCTGGCGCTGCGCCCACGATGCTTGCCAAGCGGCCGCGCAGTCTTTCAGCTACTTCACCGTGCTCGGCTACGGGGGTCTCGCCTTCTCCTTCGCGTTTGCGGCGGCTCACACGGCAAGCTCTCGCTGGAAAGGGCGCCCGTGGCTTCTGGACGGGCCTTCCTCGACGCGCTGGCTGCACAGTGTCTTCTGTGCGAGCGTGACTGTCTTTCCTTTCGTCGTTACTGGTGAGTGCAAGGACTCCTCGCCAAGCAGCCATTTGCTATTGGCTCAGGCAGCTCTGGCTGAAGGACTTCACCAGCACCACAACCACAACATCGCACTTCATCCTTCACTTGTGCCCAAAACTCTTCCTCCTCCTGCCTTTCCCACTTTCGCCGACTGGCCACCATGAATCACGACCGGGCATCTCGGCACCACGGCTTTTCAACCCACCGTGATATTCCAGTCATCAGCGCAGCGACTATCCGGGGTTGCGTCAGTCCGCTTCACCCCTCGCCCCAGCGATCAGCGGGCGTGAAGTGTGTGACGGAACCCTGGATACGAATCAGGACAGCTCGCATACGTACTCCTTCTGACCAGCCTTTCGTCGCCGAGAACTTGGGATCCATGACTTTCGTAGCGCAAGACTGCACCTTGTCCGCAGCACCACAAGGCGTGCAGCCAGACTACCCGCACCTCCGCTGAACTTCAGCCCGGAATACGCGTTACTCTCTCCGCACTTCGGCCAGAGTTCGCAGAAGCTCACTAGTTGTACGAAGTGGACTTGTCCAGGCTATTCATAGACCCAGGCGGACTGCCGAGTCTGACCGGCATGACTCTCTAAGAATAGACTCTCCCAACCCAAGAAATCAGGGCCCACATACCAGCAGAAGGCTGCTTTGACAAGAAAGCCGCAGTCGAACCTACCGCCCAAGCCGCCGCAGCCATTCCCACCCCCACACAGGTCCAGAGCTTCTTTGCTCGCCGCCAGAACGGCCCTGCCGCTAGGTTCAACGCTGTTAGCGGACCTGCTCACACTCAGGCAATCTCTGAAGCGGCTCCGGTGCCTCCGGACCATGAGACCCTCGAGGCATTGATGGATGGAGCCCTCAAGCGCCTGGCACGCGACGCATCTGAGATCGAGTACCACAAGATCACTCCTCCTGGTGGCGACGATGTGGACACTATCGATGAGTCAATGCTCAAGACTATAGCGCAGACAATCTAGCTAAAGAGTCACGCAAGGCGCCCGAGGACTGGCCACAGGACATTCAAGAAGATTATTGTAAACGACAAGCAGAATAGACAATTGAAGACATGCTAGCGGCTTGTGGCTGCGAAGCAATCTTTTCAGGATCATATGGATTGGTGTATGCTAGCTGTCCGTCTTCACAAACGCGGTGTATCCGTTGACGATCTGAACATAAAGCGGCTGCATGCCAAGCAAGATCCAGCTATGGTCACACAGACCGGTATCGAGATCGATCAGACACTCACGTGTGCGCAACGAAGCTATGGCCTAGCGGTATTGGTGCAGGTTGACAAGGAGGTGGCATACGAGCTGCTCACCGGCGAACGCAGTCCGCCATCCCTTTCCATCGTGGAGCACAAGCTTGACACCTTCTATGGAAATCGTGTTCGAGAAGCGCTGGAAATTTGCGAGGGTTAGTCAGTAATGCGCGGTGCCAAGAAGTTTCTACTTTGATCTTGGAGAATTCGTGCCATTCGTGAATGGTGTTGTTGGGACTTGGAGCGTGCATGGAGTCTGTCTTGTCAGCATGAAGTGAAGACGTCTCGGCGTAGACGCGTTGAGTTTTGCATAAGAGAGCTTGGGAAAAGGCTTGAAGTCGCCATGTGAAATGCAAGCGGGGAGTGTGCGTCTGCATGAATGATCGTTCCTCTACTCTTCGTGAGCATGGTCGGTGAGTCGTGCAGCACACTTGAAGTGCCTATCATAGAATTGTCGTCAGTCAGCAGTGTCATGAATGTCTCGCCGCTGCTTTGTTTCCAAGAGCCAACTGCTCGGAATTTATAGCACAAAGCCCAAGCAACACACCGCGTGATGAAAATCGTGGCTATGAAAGAATTCGCCAACCAAGGCCTTTGTGGAAAACGCATCGACGCAAGCAGCCGTCGCGAATACAACAAGGTGAAGTCAGGTCACACATCTCTGCCAATCCGATCCGTAAGAAGTACACAACACCTACCTACACCAACCAAAGTACCAATCAATCAGCTCACCATGAAGCTACCACCATTCCTACCCTTCCTCCTCGCCATCATCGGCCTCACCTCAGCCGCATCCAACCGAGCCATCTGCATGAAGAAAAACCCACGCGTCATCTCCGCCATCGACATCTTCTGCCAAAACAGCGGCATCACCGCTCCATCGCTTTACGCCAAGACCGGTGTCCGCTGGGGCCCGAATGGCGCGAAATCTCCGAATGAGCTTGCACTGTACATCGAAGGCAGCTGCAGTCCGCCGCAGTGGATTCCGCAGCAGTACTGTCTTTCCCAGTTTTATAACATTTGTGCGACGGGGGGACCGAGGGGGATGGGATCGAAAAGGTATGGGAGGAATGGATGTCAGAAGTGGATTGTGGCCATCACGAAGCCGGGGATTAAGATTACTCCGGCGAAGGAGTGATGAAGAATTCTGCAAGCTGAGGTCTGAATCGGGAGAAGCTATGTGTTTTGTCGAGCCCATTTAAAGTCCCGTAAGAGCGTCCGAGCGCCTGACCCACTAAGAATAGGCCTAGCCTGCCGCAACGGACTCGGTGAGATATAGAAGTCCGCTCCGTAGTATGCGTAACTATAGAAAACGTAATCTCGTCGTCGGCGCGCGTCGCTATTGCTAGGTCGACCGTACAAGGGTAGTAGTAGTAGTAGTAGTAGTAGTAGTAGTGCGATTTCCGCTCGTATACTAAGTATCGATAGTAAGAGGGCAGAGCAGAGCATTTAATAGCGAATTTGATAAGGTTTGTACTGTTTTAACGACCCCGCAATCTCTACTTATAGATACTAATTATATTACTAAAAATGAAGCTAAAGTTTGTTAGCAAAACAGCGGTATAGTAAAAAGCGAGGTATTATTAGCGATTATAGCTAATTTAATAATAGTAATATATATTAGAGGGCGGCGGTATATAAGGCATACTACTATAGACCTATATCGCGCTTAAAGGCGCGTATTGCTACCTATTTAGCGCCGGTAGTATCGGTAGAGGCATATAGAAGCTATTAGTTACTACCGCGACCTACGCGACCTATACGATAGCGGAATTTAAAGGAAAACGCGACGAGAACGCGTCGATACCGCCTAGAACTACTAACGGCGCTTCTTTACTAAAATTTAGCTAAGCTAGCGCCGCTAGTGTTCGTTCGGGTATATGTTCTTATTCTACCTATTTCTCTATCTATTTCTTCGACCGCTTCGGCGGCTTCTTCTTACTCGTAGTATCTACGCTCTTGCCCTTCCGCTTCTTACTCGCTATCGCGTCTAGCGGCGGCGCCTTCGAGGTATTATAATAACGCGATAGTACGTTACTTAGAAGTAGCAGTTGTAATAGCTTCGGCGGTTACGACGGCGTAATATTAGTAGAAGGGTTGCTATTCTTAAAGTAAGTTAGTACTAACTATATAAACTCGCGCCTAATATTATTACTAGACTCGTAGAAGACTAATAGTATCTTCGAGATTACCTACGTACGCTTCTCGTCGTCTTCTTTAAAGCCTTCTTCGTTATATATACGCTCTAGCTTATAGATTAACTCGTACGCCTCTGTAAGCGTCTTACGTACGTTAAGTCGATAGGCAGGCGCGTAAGGTGCCGCAGTTATAGTATCTAGATTACCTCCTTAGTAAGGCGCGTCTTCTATCTCGTAGACCTCGAGTATGCGGCCTTTAAATATGCTAATCTAGTGCTGCTAGTACGAGTCTTTAATAATAGTGCGAAGAAGAGTAATATAATAAAACTAGAGGCAGGCGTATAGTATACGATAGCGGCGGAAGAATTTGTAGTCGTAGGTAAGGAAAGCGCGGTCCTTACTAAGCGGTCTTAGGTCTTAAAATGTCTCTTTATCGAGCGCTCGACTGATTTCCGCGCCGACCTTACGTTAAATAGGCTACGGTAGGCGTAGAAGGTATATTCGAAGCTCGTCGTCGTCGCTACGCGCGAGAGGATGCATATTCGCGGCCTAGCGGTACGCTACTACGTCCGACCTAATGTCCTTAATCGTTATCTCGCGAAGTACGTATATAGCTACGCCTTTAAGTGTAAAGTCCGCTACTATCGGCGCTTTGTTACTATCTATTTTAAGATAAGCGTAGAAGCTCTCGTTTATATTTATAGTCGTATTTTGTTAGACAATTGTAGGTACGCCGCTATACCGAAAGTAGAAGGCCTAAAGGCGGATATCTTTGCCTATCTCTTACTAAAGGTAGGTCTTATTTAACGCGTAATCGGCATTTAAAGGTAGGCTATCGATAGCGGTAAAGAGTAACTATTACGCGCCTTCGAAGGAGCGGCGGTAAACAATAGCGGCTCGAAGGTGTCGACGCGTCTTATTATAGGCCTTACTACCGAAACGACGAGCGACCGTCCGTTAAACGTGTACGTAGCAAAGAAGGTATATTGTACGGTTTCTAAATGCTATGCGAACTGCGCGTCGTTCTACCGCCGAGTCGTCTATTAATATAAATTTAGGTACCTAAATTCTATCTGTCTACGCGCTTATCTTTAATAAGAAGGTAGACACAATATCGCCGTCGTTAGTAGGTAATAGTATATACGCAACCGTACGCGAAATGCCGTATTTGTCCTTTACTATAATAGTATAAAGGAACTAACTAAGATAATTAGTCTTATACGTCGCGTCTATAAATACGATCGTACGATAGGTTTTTAGCAGTTCTATATCGGTTTTAGTCGCCTAAACGACGCTATATATAGTTTCGCTATCGGTCTCGCGTACCGCTAATATATTGTCGCAAAAGAGCCCTTCTATAGTAATATATTAGTAGTTGTTATAATAGAAAACTAAGAATATAAACAAAGGAATTCTAAAGTTTAGAGTGCGGCCTACTAAGGTAAGCTAGAAGCCGGACCGAGGTGTTGCCGTAGGTCCTAAATTATCTTATTAGCTCGAAGCCGAGGCTCTACGGCGCTTCCGCTTTAAGCGAAGAACTTTAGAATCTCGAGATTCTACTACTCGAGTCTAGTATTCGTAGGCAATCGAGTCTAATATCTTCCTCTATCGATTTCTATCGATTTAATAAGTTAGACGAGGCTCCGTATCGATCTATTAGTTAATCGGAGTCTAGATCGGCGGAAAGCGTCGGCCCGCTACGCTTTTTTCTAACTTTAGATAGCAATAGTAAACAATATAACACTTACCTTCTCGATACTAGTTAAATAAGTCTTCCTTCTGTTACTGCTATACGAGCGACGTACCGCCGAGTTTGCTATTCCTATATATCTTCCGAAAGGCTCGCTCTAAGTTACAGATATCGTATTTCTATATCTATCGACCTCCGGCGGTATTAAATAGCTTATACGCTACTAGGTCGTATTCCGCCTTTAGCGCCCTCTATATAGCACTTAGTATATAGCCTTAATAGACCTACCGACTAGCGGTAGTTAAGAGAGCGCCGTAGCGACGAAACACGTCGAAGTTGTCTAGTTAGTAGTAATCGCTATAGTCGTCGCGACTTATACGCTATATCCGATACGCGACAATCTCCTTACTACTACTACCTTCCTTACTATCCTTATTACTTTCCTTATTTAGCGCGTCGCTCGGACTATAAACAGCGATAACCTTTATTAATATAGTGCAATCCTAAGCGCGCTCTATCTTCTTATAGTCTCTCCTTACTCTACGGCCCTTCGTCCTATTACTTTTCTAGTACGGTTGTTTATAGAAGCGATATATATAACGCGTAGTTTCTAGGCCGCTCTTCTCGATATAGTTACGGTCCTTTACCTATATATTATTAATATATAGCTATAGTGTATACTATACTTTTGCTAGTACTTTAATAGAGTTATCGAAGCCTAGAAAGATTAGTCGTTCTCGCTACTCGCGGAGGTTATCGACGTACGGCAACTACGCGTATTTATCGCTTAGCTCGACGAGAACTCGAGACTTTCGAGGGCGACGATAATCGGAGGACTCGGACGCATCTAACGCGTTATCTTTACTAGAATAGACTAATTCGTCCTCCGCTAGTCGTTCTATTAAGAAGTTAGCAATTCTAAGCCGCTACCGGGCGTAATCTGCCTCTATATTATTATATTCTAACGCGAAGTCGCCCTAAGCCTCCGAGGCAAGTATACTACTACTTCTACTATCTCCGATAAGGTTACTAATTAATACAGTATTAGAAGAGATTAAAGGCATAATTTAATTAATAAAGCGCTATCGGAAGAGATAGAATCTACTTATTATAGAGGGCGGAGCGGAGCGACAGCGAGGTTAGAAGGGGTAGTAGGGGTATAGAAAACAAGAACCTAAACAAACCGGAGCGCGTCGACGCGCTAGAGCGGAAGCGTATACAATCTATACCGACCGCCGCTCGCTAAGGTCTATAGAGCCTATTCTCGGTAGGTCAGGCGCTCGGACGCTCTTACGGGACTTTAAACACCTACGTTTTGTCGAGGGACGTGAGTGCGATACAGGTCGCAGCATGCTGCTGAGCCAGCTGACGTTAAGGTATAGCACAAATCCTCGTTTCTGATCCTAGTCTCCGTAGAACAAAACACAAGCCACGGCGTAGCGAGGTGTATTTACATTGGAGGTCGTACCCGGAATCGAACCGGGGTTACCGGAAGACGTATGGCACTGCTTGCGCAGGCCTATTTCAGAATCCGATGTGCTGACCGCTACACTATACAACCGGAGGTGATGTGAGATGGAACAGGGCGCGAAACTCTTCCATACAACATTGCTGCACAATATGTGACGTCATCGTGCATGGCCACGACACGATCCAATCTCATTGTTCTATGCCATCTCACAGCACACTGCTTACAGTTCTACAACCCATTGAACACAATCCTCTATCAATGCCACATCGAGCTCTCAAGAAAGACCCGACTCCGACACCTCCAACGCTTAACGATGACGCTCCCGACATCTTCCCAACTCCCGCCTTACACTCCCAAAACCTGCGCCTCTCCTACGAAATAGCGCGCGGTGAGCAAGGTGTGCTGACCTTCGAGCCCTACAAATCGATTCTGCTGCCTCACTGGCGATTCCGGACAGTGCCGATGGCAGAAGAGTCGTCCAAAACGTTGGAAAGCGCGTTCGAATTCTACGTTGGAAAGAAGGATTTGGTTGGCGCAGATATGGCGAGGAAGTTTCTACAGATGGGGATGACGAGGGCGAAGAGGTATGTATGTTCGTTCGATTGATGACGTGGGATTTCTGAAGGGGTTGAGAGGTGGAGATGCTGTTCTGAAATGGGATCAACGGGATTGGGCTTGCTAGGCACGGTCGTCACGCGCCTTGCATGTCTGTCCTAGGGTCTTTGGAACCTCGAGAAAGAATTGGAACTGGTCGATTGAAAGTAAAGAAGGCAGGCAGTGATGTGATGAACGCGGACCAGGACCATTGCTTGAGCATCGCCGATGAAAACCACTCCGAAATGCTTCACCAACACAACGCCAAGATCATCTTCGCTCCTTAACACTTCCTCACTAACACCTCGTCCCAAGATACGCAAACCACGCCGGCGGTCTCAAATACAAGAAATCCTCCCTCGAAAACAAAAAAGAAGCAAAACGTACCCAACTCCCGAAAAGTACAGGTCACAAGGGTATGGAAGAGAAGCTGGCCGCGAGCGAAGTGTTCCAAAAGGTTTGGAGAAGATGTATTGAAGACGCTGAATACGTTAAGCTCAAGGAGGAATGGCGGAAGGAGAAGAAAGCTTATATACAAGCGGGTGGCAAGGTGGAGAGGCAGGTGTATGGGAGTGGGAAGAAGGAGCGGAAGGATGAAGATATCGACAGTAAGATTAAGATAGAAGATTCAAATGATGATTGAAGCCAGGTGCCGATTACTTGGTCTCATGTCCATTGTGTATGCGCTCCTGAACGCTACTGCGTTGCCGACAGCGAAGTTTCAAGGTCCCATATGCCTTTGATCTTTGCCGCTTGGTCAACTAGGACAACAAGCTTTGTATTGAGGCGTGTGATCGTTGATCTTTGAAGTGCAGTGCTTGCTGCTATGCTTGACAGCCTGAAGTCAGGCCTTGCAAACGCTGGAGCGCAATCACGGTCAGTACGTAATCTCTCATGCAGAGTGGGCCTGGTTTTGGCTGACATCAATCTAGTTCGCTGTTCCGGGATTTTGCATGTGACGCCGCTTGAGACATGCGCACGTACTCGCCAACAACAAAAAATATAGCAACAACACGTCCAGTCCAGCCGTCGCCTGCATTGAATAGCCACTCATCGTCGGCATCGGCGCTTTATACTTCTTCCGCCGACACGAATCCCGCCGTGTCCAGGCCCGCGAGCAACTGCTAGGTGACGCCGTCAAGAACACTCGTCAGAGTCTCTGCTATACCTCCTACGAACTCCCCTCGCCACCATCCTCAACATGCCTCGAAGCACTGATCGCGCGCCGACACCTATGCCATCAACCGACACCCAGTATCGCGAATATGTGCTCAACATCCTCCATGGTTTTTCCAATGAGGTGAAAGCTGCCGAAAACGGGATGTCCGAGAGAGTCATCTTCCTGGCACTGATGGTGTTTCTCTACCATCACCCGCTCTCAATGGTATGGGCCAGTCTGAGCGAGGCGCGCAAAGCCACTCTGAAAAATCAGTGCCACGACGCGCTTCGTGTCGAAAGCGCATCAATTGAGGCGAAGGACTTGGTGAGGAGATGGTCGGACGAGATCTTCCCTGACGGCCTCGAGGACGGCGAGGAGTCTCAGATCGACGAGCAGGAAAGCAGCCCCGGAGCGAAACGTGGCAGGAAGTTGGGCATTGTCATGCTGAGGATACTGCTTGCTCGAGGTTCGAATATGACGATTTCGGAGGAAACCTTGCCGACACTTGCGGCTGGCGTTGACCAATTCCTGGATTCCAATGCGACGCAGGACGAGAAGATTGAGGTGATCGGATTGGCGATGCTGTCGTTCTACGGAGCTTTGTCCTCCAAGAACCTTAAGCCGGCGCTCGCCAGCTTCGCAAATGACCTCGACGCACAGCTCCAGGGAACCGGCCTGCTCCCGGAAAGGAAAGATTTCTACCCATTCAATCTGGTTGACCGAAGGCAGAGACCCTCCCGCGACTTCTCCCCTCCGGCCAACGTCCCAGCCTCTAAGCGCCGCAAGATCACCCATGACCTTGGACTAACACGGCCACCCAGCAGCGACCAGACCGCGTCGTCTGCAGCAGTACATACTCCGGACATGCTGCGCTCGCTATACTTGATGGACATCGAGTTCGGAATGACTGAGAAGGAGGACCGAGAGCTGTTGTACAGTGAGATTTGGGAAGAGCATTTGTGGGAGAAGGGCAGAGGAGAGCGAATTGGGACGGCTCGTTGGGTTGACGCTGTTGAGAAGAGATACCATGAGAGGGCAAATGAGGACAAGCAGCGCCGCTGGGCTGCGATTCTGGCTGATGCGGACGATGAGGGTCGGAGAGTCTTGGTGGAGCAGATCAGGCTGACCCTGCGGGATATGTGCTCGCGTTAGCATATGTGGATGGCATGGCATGGCATGAATTGTAGCGCTGACTTCTCTGTCATTCGAAGCATTTCAATTTATCTTTCTCCAGTGCCAGAATTGTGAGCTCCAATGTAAAGCTCGCGCGGTGCTACGTCTGTTGCAGTCGCGACTGTCTATTATTAGATACGCCTTAGAGCTGCCGTTGTGGGTGATGTAGTTCTGGTACTCACCTGCTCAGCGTTGACTCTCATCTTGCACGAGTTCAAAGCGTTTCATTGACAAGGTCGCTGCCCAGGGACAAGAATAGTATTGTGAGCGTATGGAAGTGGACTCAAGAGCCCTCTCCTGCTGGCATACCATCCCTGAAACTGCTTCGATGAAAGCAGTGGGATGTTGCAGCTATGCTCGTGACTGGGACTGAGCGCGTTGTTCCTTCTCCTCGAGATACTATACTGAAGTCAGCTTTTGTGAGGAGCGAAACAGCGCAGTCACTCACTGATTACATCCCTGCGACATCAGCTTGGCCTTGCAAAGCCGATAAATGTATGAACGGCTGAAAACCAATGCTGTCGCCATCTCTCGATGATCTATTGTGTCTCAACGGCCGGACCACTAGGTTCCGCACGCAGCAGGCAGGCAGGCAGAGGAGTGCGTTGTCGGGAACGCGTGCTTCGGGATGCACACGAAAGCCATGGTCCTAGCAATGCGGTCCGCCGATGGATGATGTGGTACAGTACAATGCAGGAGGTGAAGTCGTGTACCACGGTCTCCGATAATACAACGGTGTTCTTCCCTGGCGCAACCCGAGAGCTTGGGCTATTACAACGACTCCTGAAGTCGATACATCATCAGACATAACGCAGTGAGATGAAGTCGAAAGAGACCCGCCAAGCGCACGCGTCTGAATGCACACCACCCATCCTACCGGCTCCCACAACATCGTGCATTCGTGCTTCTACACAGCGCCGGAAGTCCATTCTTCGACCCGTCGTCAATGGTTTCGCAGTAGTGAGCAGAATACCCGCGCCGGTCGGTCACTATAGAGCTCGAGGTTGAGTACTACAAAGCTGCAGCAACTACTATAGCAGTGCCGGGTTCTTCCGATCAGATTGTTGGTGCGGGGCCTTGCGCATCCGCCTTGCGTGCCGTACTCGGAAGAGGATCCTTAAAGGCGGAATGACGATGATCGAAGAATCCAAGATTGCACAACACGAACAAGCCAGCTTGATAAACTTGGTCCTATGTAACAACACGATTGGCCTTTGGCGACCTTGCGCTTCCGTATGCCGCCGATCGACACCGATAAGTATAAGCTCGTTGTACCCAGTGACGATCATCCGGGACTTGGAAGCGTGGCTTGCATGTGAATGGTCGTCATGGGAAGTGCATAAAAGACTTCCCCCTCCACCTCACACGCCCATGTCCGCACTTTTTCTTTGTTGTCGACCTCAACAACTGACCATCGACGACATTTCTCGCAGGCACCTGTACCAAAAACCTGTTGGAGTTTCAGAATCTTGGATTGACTTTTCCAAATATCGCCATCGACCTTTCTGCACCCTGGACGAGTTCAAGGCATCCTAGCTTTGAAACACCAACCACAACACGCTCAATCTCCTCAGTCTTTTTCACCAAACCTCCGCAAATCTGTCAACGTTTCACAGTCCAATTGCAGGACTACACAACCTCGAACTTGTGAACCAAGCGTGGAGGCCAACACTTCCTGCAGCGACGTTTTCTGTCATAGATTGGCAAGGACTTCCTACCCCCAGGCTACGATCAAACAGGAGCACTACTGTTTTGGACCCCTTTGAGTCAACACATCCAACCAAAACGGGCGAGTTGCGACAAATTTAGTGCCTGGCCGTGGCCTGGTTGTCATATTCATTGCAGGTCAAACCATATCTTTGGGCCGCTTACTTGTAACCCTCGCCAGTACCGGTACTTCCGAGCAAACGATTATTTCTAACGACATGTTGCCGCTTCTCATTGTCGTGCCTTTGGCATATGCTGCACTCTACGTCTTGACGTGAACAACACGAATACACTTGGCCTGAACCAAGCAATCAGATTCGGCACACAAGAGTTCACGGATCAAGAACCATTCCATTCCAATAGTGGTTGCTTGACGGCCGTACTCCTACGAGCTCACTTTACCATATCTGGATATGAACGAGCTGTGCTCCGACTGGCGAACCATCGAAATGCTTCCTGCCTCATCCCGAGACCCTGCACCGGAAGACTATCCGCTTCCACCTTCTCCAATCCTGGACGACCTCTTGCTCATTACGAGATCTAGAACGCCGTCAGGCTGCTCTACTACGTCTTTGAGCACAGAATCCACACCAGACATGCAATTCCGAAGTCGACCGATATCAGACTGTTCGACTACATCCACTGGAAGCGACTCATCAACACGGCGACGACCATTGACGCGGAGGCAAAGCCATTGGTGCGGTCGATGTCACAAAGTCTTCCAGACGTTCCGGACCGGCGATCAAACACCACACGAATGTCAGACGAGCAACGAAGTCACTCCTTCCAAACAAAGAGCTGCTGAGCTGCAACAATTACGAGCTTTCAAGAACTTGGATTTCATTTTGGCGAGGAGAGCAATTGAGATGAGGATGACGCTGGCGATCTAAATTCCTCTTCTTCTCTTCACGACGTCTGGAAAATCATTTTACAGCTTCGGATTGGATTTTTTGCTTAGGGAGGGATGAGGATAAGGATGATGAGTATATACGAATGACGGGACGTACCTTGGCGTGAATCTAACGTGATCTGGCAAGCTAGACATGTCTCTCGTAGATTGGAAGCAATGGAAATACAAGCATTCCACTCCATGTGCCCTTATCAGCCCGTTACATGCGCTCGGCCATCGCCCTTTCCACCTGGGAACTGTAGCCTCGGTCCCATCGGAGCCGCTTCCGCTTGCATGTCGTGATAAACAGCAGACTTCTATCAAACAGACTGAGAGCAGGCCACAAACTGTGCTTGCACCAATCAAGTTGATGTTCACGTCCTGTGTCCCTGGCCTGTAGGAGGTATCTATAACGCCCTCAGTCCAATCTAGCTGCCCCGTCTGACAGGCTATGCGAATTTCCGCCATATCGAGCCTTCGCAGCCCGTTGAGGAGTGGGATGATCGCAATGGGTTATATAGCATTTATCCTTATCTAGAATAGTCGATTCGGCAGGGCATCCTAGCAGTGGGTCTCGAAAATTGTAAGTCGGACGCATTTTTATGCGAAACATTGCTAACTACACAGTTGTACAGGGCATATAACGACATCTTGTATCCTTGCGAGAAGTATGCGCCATTCGATTGTCCTGATACATACGACCCAGAGAAGGATATCACCGTCACCAAGAATTAGAATACTCAAAATTTGTGATTAACCAGCTCGAATGAGCTATAGCCGTTAAGATGGCGAGGACTCCATCGATTAGGCTGGATACATGTAATAATAAGTCCCGAGAAAATGAAGCAACACCATGATCCGGAATCCAACTCAAACAGCTTCCTGGAAAACCCCACTCCCCTCATGCCGCCTATAGTCAACCATCGACTAAAGCAGCGCCCTGATCCCTCGTATTCTCGTCCACAAACGCTCGCTCGCGGTCAAACCTAATAAGCCACATGCATACCACCCCACCCCATACCAGTCAAGCATCCATTCAGTCTCACCTAAAATCTCACAAGCCGCTCATCATCCTTACTCCCATCCCTAAAAGTCACGCTCTTCTACCCCCCTCTCCTACAACTCCTTAAATCCAGAGAGAAGACCCACTTCAATGCCAATTTCGAATGAATGTGGAACGTGTTCTTGGTGTAGTAGTCGGCCGTGAAAGTTTCGCGGATGGCGCGACAGAGCTGAAGGGCTTGCGGGGGCTTGTAGGTTGCGTCGATCTTGATGGGTTCATCGGTAGGAGCGGCGACGACGAGGGAGAAGATTTCGTCGTAGAGTTCTTAGGGGAGGGACTCGAGGTGGTTGCGGAGGCTGGTAGGCATCGCGGTGGTAGAGGCCATAGCGCTTGGGTTGGTTGTGTGAGGATGGTGGTTGAGGGTGGTGGTGCGCTTCTTGGTGGGGGCAGTGGTGGAGGCTATGGCGCTTGTGTTGGTTCTTGGAAGTATGGTGTTTGAGGGTGTGGATGGTGGAAAGCGGTTGATTTGTGAGGTTTGTAGTTGCAGATTAGTGTGGAGAGGTTGATGAAGGAAGGAGCCGAGACTTAGAAGTGATATTTACAGCTCAAGCATGTGAAAACGGGACGGGCCGAGTATTTGTAGGTGCGCACATGCAAGCGGGTCTCACTTGTCGGGGTCCTCATGCTCACATGAATCTCTCTACATACTGCTGATGATGAGTGGCGCAGCATTACTCTGTCACTAGAACCCTGACTGGATCCCTTGCGAGAGATCGCTGTCTCCTTCCAACGCATCTCGGATTCTCGATTCGAACATGTTTCTGGAGAGCGACCGCTCAGGAATTCATGCTCAAAATATCGCACTAATGAATTTGGAAACAGCTCTGATCGTCATCTCGTTGTAGCCGTCAGCTCGCATTTTCTCCCTAACCTGCTCTTTCATGGCCTCCTCTCGAGTCGGGCCGGGAGTCCGGCCTTCCTTGATCGCAACGAAATAATCTTCTTTTGAAATTCCAGACGGCACGATAAGGCTTCCTTTGGGCGTCTCGAAGCGATGCAGGCGTACGGCATAATACTGGGTACTGTTCTTGCTGTGTTGCTCAAGCTGTGTTTCAAATATCAGCGTAGTCCAGTTACCAATGTATTCACCTCATAATCCTTACAAATTTCAATCCCATTCTCAGTGCATTTGAATGTTTCGATTTCAAGCCGTTGAAATATTCTTCAAACGCCTTGAGCTCCTCTAACGCCCCTAAGTTTGAGCAGATCCTGAGATGATTTTCCATGCACATCTTGGCGGATTCAAGATGAGCTACCAGTATGACAGTTGGCGAAGCACTGATCTCATCCATGATCGCACCCAGTGCAATTAAATATGGTGTTCGGTCAGGATTATTCAAAAGTCCTTCTTCCTCTGAGAGCTGGGCGAGTAAAATGCTAGCTTTGATGACTTCCTCGGTCCCCAAGGGCTTTTCGAGCCGCTTCTGGTCGAGCTGTACAGTGGATGGCGAGTGCAGGGCCTTGCGGTGCTGCTGTTCGAAGACGTGGGCGGGCCGAAACGCTTGCAGCGCCGGGCAAAGGGGTGAATCTTGCAAAACTCATAGCCGAGTAGGGCAGAAGGATGGGAGGAGATGGATGAAATGGAAGAGATGTCGATATGTCGATGGAATATGAGGTCGGCACAGACCCCTGCAAGTGCGGTATGCACAGTACTGTGGATACCGGCGAGCAGCCATTCATTTTTCGGCGCTGGCCAATGTTGAATAATGTGAGACATCCTGAGAAGGGAAGCTCCTGACAGTCTTGGCGTGTAGTGATCACTCGAAACTTATGGAGCGCGGAGCTCTAGTCATCATTGATGATGCTTTGGGTGGAGGGCAGGCAGAGAGGCCGCGCAGAGCACAGATGGGAAATCTCGTGGTGGCTGCCGAGTGGGCGCGAGTCATGCGACAAACCTTAATTCTGATCGAGACGGAATATTTTTGCGAGCCTTCACTTTCGCATCGCATCGCAACGCAACTCCACCACCACCACACTCCACACTCCAAGCATACCGCCACCATGTCGGACGCCGAACAGCCCAAGAAGTCTCGCTTCAAGCGCGTCAAGACCAGCGACGACCGATCGAATCCATACCTGGCGCACATGTACAGCGACACTCACAACGGCGACAGCAACGGCGTCAACCTGAATGGAAGTAGCAGCAATGGCGCATCCACCTCCACCGACCTGACCACATGGAAGCGCAATGCGACCACGGCGAAGATGGCCGAGATCGCCGAGAATGGGCCTGCAAATCCATTCACCGGCCTGCCGCTGTCAGAGCGATATTTTGGCATCCTGAAAACTCGCCGAGATCTTCCCGTCCATGCGCAGCGTCAAGAGTTCCTGCACATGTTCCAGAAGACGCAGATCTTGGTGTTCGTGGGGGAAACAGGTTCCGGAAAGACCACGCAGATCCCGCAGTTCGTGCTGTATGACGATCTCCCACAACAGCAGGGCAAGATGGTGGCGTGTACGCAGCCGCGTCGAGTCGCTGCTATGAGTGTTGCCCAGCGTGTCGCGCAAGAGTTGGATGTGAAGCTCGGTGAAGAGGTGGGTTACAGCATTCGCTTCGAGGACATGACTGGCCCGAAGACGGTGCTCAAGTACATGACCGACGGTATGCTGTTGAGAGAGGCCATGAACGACCACGACATGTCTCGATATTCGTGTATCATTCTCGACGAAGCCCACGAGCGAACGCTGGCAACTGACATCTTGATGGGTCTGCTGAAAGAGGTGGTCAAGAGACGCCCGGACTTGAAGCTGATTATCATGTCTGCTACACTTGATGCGCAGAAATTCCAGAAATACTTCCACAATGCACCGCTTCTTGCCGTGCCTGGCCGAACGCATCCAGTCGAGATCTTCTATACACCAGAGCCCGAGCGAGATTATGTGGAAGCGGCACTGCGGACAGTCTTGCAGATTCACGCAACAGAACCAGAGGGCGACATATTATTGTTCTTGACGGGAGAAGAAGAGATCGAAGACGCATGTCGGAAGATCAGCATGGAAGGAGACGAGATGATACGAGAAGCAGGAGCTGGACCGCTGAAGGTCTACCCTCTCTACGGTACCCTACCACCAGCGCAGCAGCAGAAGATCTTCGAGCCTGCGCCTCCACCCTACACAAAAGGCGGCAAGCCTGGTCGCAAAGTCATCGTGTCTACGAACATCGCCGAAACATCTCTCACCATCGATGGCATTGTCTACGTCGTGGATCCTGGCTTCAGCAAGCAGAAAGTCTACAACCCGCGAATCCGAGTCGAATCACTGCTCGTCTCTCCAATCAGCAAAGCTTCCGCACAGCAGAGAGCTGGTCGTGCTGGTCGTACCCGGCCTGGAAAGTGCTTCAGACTATACACCGAAGCCGCATTCAAGAAGGAGCTCATCGACCAGTCGTACCCCGAAATCCTGCGCTCCAACTTGGCCAACACGGTCCTGGAGCTCAAGAAGCTTGGCGTTGACGATCTGGTCCACTTCGATCTCATGGATCCTCCTGCACCGGAGACTCTCATGCGAGCTTTGGAAGAGCTAAACTACCTCGCATGTTTGGACGACGAGGGAGAGCTCACCACTCTTGGCAAGCTGGCCTCAGAGTTCCCACTCGACCCTGCTCTTGCAGTCATGCTCATCTCCAGTCCTGAATTCTACTGCTCGAATGAAATGCTGTCGCTCACAGCTCTCCTTTCGGTACCGCAGCTCTTCAATCGGCCAGCTGCAGCACGTAAGCGGGCGGACGAGATGAAAGCTCTCTTTGCACACGAGGACGGCGATCATCTGACTATGCTCAACGTCTACCATGCTTTCAAGTCTCCGGCTGCTCAAGCAAACCCCAAGCAGTGGTGTCACGACCACTTCCTCTCATACCGAGCACTTCAGCAAGCAGATAACGTACGACTGCAGCTAAAGCGGATAATGGAGCGGGAAGAAATCGAGCTCATGTCGACCAAATTTGACGACAAGAACTACTACGTCAACATCCGGAGAGCACTTTGTGCTGGCTTCTTCATGCAAGTGGCCAAGAAAGATACATCGGGCAAGACATACGTCACTGTCAAGGATAACCAGAGCGTGCTGCTTCACCCATCCACCGTGCTTGGCCAAGACTCCGAATGGGTCGTCTATAACGAGTTCGTGCTCACCAGCAAGAACTACATTCGGACTGTGACTGCTGTCAAGCCCGAGTGGCTGCTGGAAATTGCGCCCAACTACTACGACGTGGACAGCTTCCCGAAGGGTGAGGTCCAGACGAGTTTGCGGAGGACGCAGAACAAGCTGGCGAGACGAAGTGAGCGCGATCGATGAGTCGTTTGAGTAGAGCGACCTGTACACGGTAGCATCCCACATGGGCCTCGGAGCCATGTTGCGATAGAAGAATGAAGAGCACGAGCTCTCGCCGGTGCAGCAGGCGCAGCATCACACCCCATTTCTACTCTCACCCACCCATTGTACTCACAGCTTCGACCAGAACATGTCCATGTGCCCGATCCTCCCACTTTCTGCCGCAACGAAACATCAACAACAGCCAGGGCTTAATCCCATTGCCGGTTTTGGTTACGCTTGCTTATTCACGCAGCCGCACCTCTTGGCGATTGATCCCTGCTACGAGCCCTGGCCCTGCTATCCGGCGACATGGATGGTGCCACTTAAACCGGAAAAGTCGCCTCTTGCGACGCGAACACTGCTTCCCTTCATTAATAAGGAAGCACTTCGCAGCAATGGACGTCTGTAGATGCACACTCGTTCCTCCTCGCCCAAGTGCGCTCTCGGGACAAAATGTATTCCCAATGTCATCGCCATAGCACAATGGGACACTTGATGCTGTGTCTTGTTGCGCTCTCTGTAGCAAGTACTGTCATGCAGCGTAGCGCACCTCCACTGCCGCAAGCAATACAAACTTGCTTGGAGAAAACAGGTATCAAGCGCAGATGTATCATATTTGCCATTATCATTGACCATGTTCCCAGGAATCGCACTGATTTCGCCTTCCTCAACCGACTACAACACGACAGCCAAGTCCCAGAACACCATTTACAACTATCAACCCTCAGCCATTCTCGAACCCAAATCCACGTCCGAGACGGCTTCAATCATCTCCTGCCTCACGTCCAGCGAGGTCAAAGTATCACCCTTCGGCGGCGGCCACGGCTACGCTTCCTACGCTCTCGGCGGAACAGACGGATTCGTAGTCATTGACACCTTGCATCTCAATACAATCAACATCGATCCTGCTGCAAAGACTGTGCAAGTAGGAGCAGGAGTCAAAATCGGACCTCTAGCAAAAGCCCTAGCAGCGCAAAACTTCGCCCTCCCGCACGGGACATGCTCCAGTGTAGGCATAATCGCACACGCCTTGGGTGGAGGTTGGGGCTTCGGAAGTCGTAAATGGGGCTGGCTTCTCGACCACATCATCTCCATAACTCTCATAGATGCCTCAGGCAAGACCAGAACTATCCATGAGAAAAGTATGGGTGACGATCTGGATATCTGGTGGGCAATGCGAGGCGCAGGAGCAAATAATTTCGGGATCGTAACCTCCATGACACTCTCCATCGAACCCGCTCCAACGAAAAGCGTCAACTTCAAAACAATCCTCCAAACAAATCTCGAATGCGCAAATGCTTTGATCGTGTTGCAAGAACTCGGTCTCAAAAAAGAAGGTATATCAGACGCTTTGCCCGTCGAATTCGGAGCCCAACTACTCATGTACGGCGAAGATGGTGGCGATCCAGGTGCTTGCTCATTCGCAGGCCAGTATCTCGGTCCTCTGACCGAACTCCGCAAAATCGAATCTCAGATCTCATCAAACCTGAAATCTCGCGGCGTCAATATGCCTGCCTTCACCGCCACAGAATTCTCTTCCTGGAACGACGCACTCGTCAATCTCATGGGCGATCTTGACGCGCCACCGAATAAGGTTCCATACTACGCTCAGAGCTTGATGGATGATGGATCGCCGGGATATTCCATCGACTCCGCGAAGAAGATTGTTGAAGCGATGCAGAAAACCGTCAATGTTTCCGACTCTGGCACCTCTCTATCCTTTGACCTCAACGGTCCTTCCGCAGGGACGAATGGCGAACAACCCAATGGGAATGCCGTCTGGTACGACGCCGGCAAACGTAACGCCCTTTTCCTCTCCCAGATCTACGTATACAACTATCCAGGTTTCGACAAGCAAACTGAACAAGACGCTATAAACAAAGCTGTGGATGACGTGAACCAAGCCGTACGAGACGCGAACCCAAACTCCACCTGGGGCGCATACGTAAATTACATCGATCCCCGACTCGAAAACTGGGAACAGATGTACTACGGCCAACCGCCCATCATCAAAAGATTAAAATCCCTCAAAACCAAAACCGACCCGAATACCCTCTTCGACTACCCCCGAGGTCTAGCTCACGCTCGAGATCCATAGATGTATATACATCATCCAATCGTATCCCCTTCCCTCCCATCATCCTCATGCATCTCATAAAACTTCTGAATCTCCTTGAACTTCCTCACCATTCTCGCCGGAGGCCCATAATCTTCAGGAATCCTCATTTGCTCAAAAAGTCTCCGATCGATGGAATGTTGTTCTTGAAATTTCACAATGGCATCGAAATTTGCGCATTTCTTGTGGATGTTGAAGTCCGGGTAGGGGTAGGGGAAGGTATCGGTCTAGACAAAATCAGCCAGCTGTGGGCTTCAAACCCCCGCCCCCAAACCTACCCAAATATGCGTATAAACATCCCAACTCGCCGAACACATAATATTCTGCAACAAATACCACAAACAATGACTTAAATGCAATTCCTCTTTTTCTCCGCCGCCTCCCCCCCAACCGTCCCCTTTGTAGATCTGCTTCCTCAATCGATCCAAACAGTGCACTTGATGCAACACATCTAACCGTCCGGCATACATCTCTTCTCCATCAAAGCTTGCGTTGAATTTTGCGGTCTTGGAAGGATTTTTCCCCGCGGCGATGACGTCTGCGCGCGAGATGGGGATGGGGTCGGTGGAGGAGATGGCGGCCCAGGCGGCGTCTGCTTCGGGGCCGGGGGAGCGGTAGAGGGAGCCGGGGGTTGAGGGGAGGATGAGGAGTTTTGCGTCGATTGTGGTTGGGGTTGGGGAGGGGAGGGGTGGGAAGATTGCTGGTGGGAGATTAGTTGGGGTTGTGTGAGGGATGGGGAATGGAATGGAGTGGAATTTTACATTTGGATTTTGGTTGGTGCCGGATCTTGTGGGGGTTTGGGAGCCAAGGTTGGGTTGATGCGAGGAGGAGGATGAGGCTGGAGGATAGGAAGAGGACGAGACTGATTCGGTGGAGGGTTCGGGCGGTTTGGAGGGCGGTTTGGGATTTTGTGATGGGGTCTTCTTCTTCTTCGGCGTGGTCGGTACGATTCTTGACGTCTCGGGGTTTCTCATGGCTTTGGATTGGTTTGTACTGCTGTCGGGAGAGTCTTCCGAAAGGCAATGTCCACTCGAACATGATGGCTGTATTCGCGTTGGAAGTGGGTAAGAAAGCGGAGTGAGTCGTGAAGACGAAAGTCGTTAGTTCTGAATGGGTTCGAGTTCTTATCTAGGTTACTCTGCGGTGCCATAATGCTCGGCGTTCAGCTCCCTGTAGAAGTAGGTACCGCATGCATGATGTGGGTGTTTCGTGGCGTGACCATAAAGACAGCTACATTTTCAGCAATGAGCGAGCCGCCTGTCTCGAATTCCATTTGATATGTTGCTCTGGCATCTCAAAGATACAAGCAACTAGAATGAGGTCTATATTGCAGTTGAAATGGTCGAAGGGAGATGTATGTTCTCCAGAACAGTGGAAGCATTTACCATCTGATCTCACGATCGGAGCAAGGGTCAGTTGGTCAGAGCTCTATCCAACTGCAGGGATCCGCACAAGGCTGTGACCAACCAGCCGTCTCACCAAGACCGCATCACGATATTTATTCATTACGCCGACTTATCAGCTCTTGAATATCGTACTCATTCATCCACTGATCCTGCTGTCCTTCAATCGACGAGACATTCACATAGATCTTTCCTCTCGTGAACAGTCTCCGCTCCAACTGATATCCTGCAGCTCCCGTAGTAACTTTTGAAGCCGGTTGTCGAGTTGCTGTATGTCGGTGCCCCGGGATCCAGCTATGGAAGTTTGAGGTGCTATAATCGACAGTTCGGACGTTTGAGAGACTCTGACTTGAAGATAGTCGAATTGTATAGCTGACAGGCCAGCATTGGAGAAAAGACAGGATCAGGTGAAGTGATTGCTTTCGAATTTGGTATCAGTGGTACGCAGAAGACAAGCTTTAGTTACTAAGCAGAAATCAATAATTACGGGGGAATGGTTGAACCAAGAATCCACCAAACTGTGAAATAGCCACCTCACCCACACCGGATACAGTTTCTAAAATGTGGAACTCCCAGCGCTCTTCCAATTGTTATCTTCAAGATAGTCATTACATACAACCTGAAGACCAACAGCGAGTGCCAAGACTCCGCAAGGCTGTGACGGCATGATAGCAAAACTATCATGCTTCCCCTCCGCAGCGACTATACATCGAACGAGTCCCTCATATAGGTATCTTTTTGGACAACTCCCAACCGTCGCTCGCACTCAACAACCTCATCGCCTCACTCTCTATCACCTTCCCTTTCTCATCCTGCTGCACACCAAACTCAGCCCTAATCACACCCGACCGAACTTGTAATCCAGCCTGAAGAATATCACGTCCCACGTTCTCTAGGGCTCCCGAGAACCATTGTAGTCCGCGCAACAACGGTTTAGTCGACGCCCGACAATCCTTGCAAGGCTGAAGAATGACCGTCGTAAGCATTGTCTGGATCTCTTCAGGCAGACTTCTGAGCCAGTCCATAAGCGGCTCGGTCTTGACCAGGCATGGTTCCTTGATGATGAAAGTTGAGTGGCTGAAGTAGTCTTTCTTGGCCTTGTCTCTTTGCTCCTTTGTCAGCCATGTGGATGTGAGTTGCCAAGGAATTGAACAACGTGGCGTTGTAGACTGGACGATGACTTGGCCGGGCAGGATGGCGATCGTGAGGTCGAAAATGATCTGCCAAAGCTCCGGTGGTAGGCGTTGAAGACGGGCTTCGAGTGAATTTATGTGCCAAGGCTGCTGCATTTCTCTCTTGGCGTCTCGTAGTCTCTCCGCGGCGTCTCTGAGGAGCTTTTGTTGACGCAGAGAGGATAGGCGGCCAAGACGCTGGAGTGATCGATCGCCCCTGAAGGTCATAGCCAACACCACCGACTTTACGCTCAGTTTGAGAGTGTCGAAGAGCCGTTGTGGGCAAGGCCTTTGCGAGTGGCAAGACCGCAATTAGAAAAGTATTGGGCGTGTAGTAATAAGCAAGCTCAGAGCCGCGCCAAATTTGCAAGATGACAATTGTCCAAAGCTTCGGTGGTTCTCTGTAGATGAATAGGCTTTCAGCCTTGTCTCAAATTTCATGCTTGGAACTCCTTAAGATGGCTTTAGCGACCGATGTTCTTTCGGTCTACAGCAGCCAAGATCAGGCACTGAGCGATGAAAGAAGATCCAAACCTTCATATTTCTGCGTTTGAAGCAATATATCGAATGGAATTCCGAAACGGTTCAAGCGTCAAGTCATGTTGCTGTTGTTCCGGTCGCCTTTGCCTCCATTTGCTAGAGCTCCGGACGTCGAAAAGTGAGTCCAGTTGCGTAGAACGATTTCTTCCGCTGAAGCGATCGTGCAGATACTCTGATTTGGCAGAAAACCTAGCTTTATAATAGCTCCGCCGTTTTCCACTCGACAAATGTATTGCTTTATGCATCGAACAACGCTCTTCTCACCAAGTCATACTTCATTCACCCACCGTCTCTGTTTCCATCCATTAATGAATCTCAAACGCAATTTTCGGAGTCTGCTCCAGTTTTTCGTAGAATTCGTCGAAGCCCTCTTGCCATCGCATCAGACCATCGATGTAGCATTGTCCAAGAAGAAGAAAATGATCTTCTTTTGGTCGTAAGACTAGCGGAAAGTTGCAGCCTTCAATGTATACCACGATATCGGAAGGCTGCGTGACTTGAGGTACGAGGAGGAGATGACCTTCTTCGCTTATCGCAAACCTGCGATTAAAGGCAGCGACGAATACTGCAATCCCAAATTGTGCGAGCTTTCTGACTTCGGGTGATGGGTTGACCATGGTACTAAAAGGAAAGTTAGCCAGAATCTTGATTGTATGATGCTGCTCCAGATCAGAGCTGAGAGGAGACCCCTCAGTCTGTCCCCAGAGCCATGAAGATACTCCTTGGGCTGAGCTATAGCTCTTGAGACGCAGTATACGCACCTCAATTCTAGCAAATAAGGTACATATCTCCGATTTGCATGATATTCAACAACAGTCAAATACCCAAGCCGATCATCTGCAGTACTTCTCAGGCCCTGCCAATCACAATCTGCAATTAAAGTCCGGGCCAGCATTTCAAGGCTCTCTTTTGCCATACTGGGCGCCATAGCAGCAACTTGGTCGAACCACCGCGCATCGTCCTGGTAGGTGGAGGGGTGGAATGCGCCTGCATCAGAAACAGACTTCGCGAGACAAATCGTCCAACCCTCGAGTTTCAAGATCTTACCAGACCCACCGAGGCGAACAGAGGCTTCTGGCCAGATTCCGAAGTATTGGAACTGAGAAGGATCAAATAAGAAGTCAAACTTCCGTTGCAGTCGTGGCACCCAAGACGGTAACCCATTGCCTTGAATATCCGCTTCATCTCGATGCGAGATCAGTCTCAATATCATTCCATTGTCGTCCCGAAGAGCCTCTCTCGTAGCATCAGCATGTACATCTTGCCAAGATTTTCGATAATCAGGTCTCAGCGTCTGAAGTTCTCGCAAATCTTCCGGAACCAAGCCAAGCAGTCCATAGACTTTGTCGCGAGCATCTGACGCTTCTAAGTCCTGCCCAAATTCTAATGCACCACTCAGCGATAGACATTGATAGCGGCGATACCGCATGTGGACGTCAAGCGCATGGGCAGCATTCATTAAGCCTGGAAGGGAGTACAGCTCGGAAGAGATATGCGAATCATGATAGATACGGAGCCAGACTGCCACTTCGAGAATCACGCGAAAGTCCAGCTTAGATTGACCAAGAACACAGATATTTTCAAAGGCCAGACAGGTCTCTTGTAAGACCCATAGACGACTGAGATATGCCTCGTCAGTGAAATAAATTGCCAATTGTGGGAAGCTATAGGACTGACCTAAACCACGGATTTGAGAAAAATGCATGGATCGGAGTGTCACTCCATGTGGTCTGTATCGGGCTATCTGGATGCCCTATAAAATTACCACCTTTGTTGAGCCTTTCTTGAAACACAGCGTCGCCTTGTGACTCGACATGAAGTGCTGTTATAGTCGCGAAGGCATCGACCATCAACTCTTCATTCACCGGCTCGCCGAGATAGACGACATTTCGTATTCCGTGTGAATAGACTTCTCGCATGAGAGCAACTTGATGACCTCTCTCATCGTTTTCTTGCTGGTTGATACAAATGGCATCGATCCAGAGAGTCCGTTCTTTGTTGTCGAAAGCCAGTCGATTGAGTGCCTGCCAGCTACTCTGCGGGATAAGCAGCCGTGCACCATTCACCACGAGCACCCGTGACGGAGTCGGATCACCCCAGCAGTAGGAGACAGTCTCGTATGGCGCTTTGTCGAGTGGTGCATGTTCCAAGCGTGCACGGAGGGTTCCTTGCCCGGATTGGCGTAAGACATGGAGGACTCGAATCTCATTCGTCCCTTCTTTGAGCGGAGAATATTGAAAGTCCGCTAGAGCCTGGCGTCTTTCAAGGTGAGCGATGCGAACTCGTTGCGCGATGCAATCCTCCGGAAGAGGCGTGATTCGAATGAACGAAGGCGAGCGTTGCCAAGAAGAAGATGATGGTGACAGAGAAGTTGTAAGCCGCTTGTTGCGCGCAGCAGAGAGATGGGAAGATTTTTCCGTTCTTTTCATGGTCGGCCAGATAGATGGAGAGAAGAAAAAGAAGAGAACAGCGCGGTCTTGAGGGTTTGAACGGAAGGCTGAAGGATGACACTGCCCCCGCCACCAAGACGGCTCGGCAGGTTTCGTATACATGCATGGATGCCTCATATTGATGTGTACCCAAGCCGCCAGCAAAGGCAGGCCTCAAATCAAGACCGAAAACATCCTCAGGAACACGGCCGAAGCCGGCTAAATCTCAAACTCATTCATTCATGGTGCGTACTTTCTATACATGCCACTATGGCAGCTGGCGGCGCTCGACTCAGCCCCTTCGGAAGCTTGACGCTCTAAGCCTACGATATGTGTCCCATGCTTCTCAAGCCAAGATGGAGACATCAAAGCATCAACCCATCCATCATTCGACGAAGCAACTTTCTCGACCTCTTCCCTACTCCTCGCACCATCTACCCATCCTCCCACAAATCACCTAATGTATCCTCCTCAACCCCTCCACCATCCCCCTCAAACCCTCCAAATCCACCCCCGTCCCATCCAAACCCTTGACAACCTCATTCTGCAAGACCTCAGGCATATCCAAAAACCTCTCAATCAACTCCCCATCCACAAATCGCACCGGACCTTCCTCACCCATATCCCTGACCAGCGTCTTGAACCCTCTGAACTTCGCAAACCTCACACCACCAGGACTCTTGACCATATCAGCCATCAAAGTCTGCATCCGCATCAAAAGATCCTGCCGAGGTTTTCCGATTTCGCAGTAGACGTAGATGCTGCCATCGGTGGTGGCGAGGAAAGCTTGTGGGGTGACGACGGCGCCGGGAGAGGGCTGGACGGTGATGGGACGGATGCGGTTGACCATTTCCCCGAGGAGGAATTCTGAGGTGACGCGGAGACGGCGGCGGTCTTCTTGGGAGAAGCCGTTGATGTCGTGTTGGAGGACAATGAGATTGCCTTCAGCGTCAGATTCGAGGTAGGTGTTCTCACTGACGCGGGCGCAGGCTGTGCCCCAGAGTGTTTCGAAGTGACGGGCAATTTCGATGAGGGTGTCGGGTTGGCCTTGACGGCCAGCTTTGAATTCGAGTAGGGAGAGAGATTTCATGAGGTCGGTGACTGCGATTGTGTTGTTGGTGACGCAGATGTCAATTGGTGCTGTGGCTGTTCGGTAGGAAGCTTTCTTGGTGAGAGCAGGTGTAGACGGTGTCTGATATTCGAAGTCGTATACCACGATCGTCTTCACGAGAGCAGCGACGATTCTGCCTTGGCAGACTGCAAGGCAGCGGCAGGCACCACGTACTGCGAGCTCAGTGACTAGCTTGATGCGCCGGTCTTCCGTGATCTCGAGTACCAGTATTCGTCCCTTGGCATTATTTGCGTCCTGGTCGTCCAAATATGCGGTACCAACGACGAATCGCTCAGCCTCCTCGCCTGAGCCATCATCGAGGTAACACCTGATTACGCATTCGACGAGTTCATCTTCATTCAGTGCCCATGTATCAAGCTCTTTGAAGGCAACCTCGTCGACGAGCTTGAAGTGCGATGCGACCTCTTCATTGCCTGCGGAAAGGGTACGCTTGATGCAGCCAAGGCCGAACGCCTTCAGCTCCGCCGAATATGCAATTCGTCGTACCGTCTCATGAATGAACAGATCTTGCACGTGGGTTGTTCTCTCCTCATCAACGACGGCGAGCTTGAGCTCATTCTCGCCGTTCTCATCAGTTGTGGCGATGGCGATAGCACCTGCATAGTCGCCGAAGCTGTCAAAGGATGCTATACATGTTGCATTCTCTGCTGTGACAGCAGAGTAGACGAGTCGTCCATCCGAACCGTAAATCAGTGAAGGATGCTCACACGTAGCAAAGACGTTCTGTAACCCGTCGGCTCGTGGTAAAGCTGCGAAGTTGGCTTGTTGTGTGCCAAGTATGATGCATTTCCGTGCCGAGAATGGTTGCTGCGCTGATGTGACGCTGTAAGTGACCACATTACCGTCTGCGAGACCTACAAAGAGCGTTGCTGGCTGGTCCTTCAATATGTTTGCCACAATCAGCGACCTTGGCACTGCCAAAGACTCTTCCTCTGCCACTCGCTCGCTGGCAGTTGGCTGCAAGTCCTGCAAGGAAAGGAATGAGACTTTGCTGTCTTTCCAGAAGCCGGCTACGCACGCGTTGGGTATTGATGGTGAAAGCGCTATGCACGAGACTTGCTCTTCGCTTCCGAACTTCCGCTCGGCTTGCACTTGGATGTTGGAAGCCGAGAGATCCAGGACTACTAATACTGCTCCTTGAAGCGAGACGAGAATCTTCTCGCCATCAGCCGCCACCGCTGTGATAGACGTCCCGCTTGGCGCTTGCCAGCGGTCAGTGACCATGTCGCCTTCGGAATCAGTAAGTAGCACCGACGAGCTAGTCACTTGTACTGCGCGTCCGTCACGTAGATCCCCTGCGAACAATGTGGCATCTTTGAGCTCAAAGCCGCGGAATGAGTCTCTTGCTTCAATATCTCCGTCTTCTGTAAACACCACCACATTGGTGTGCGAGACATGACTGACAATGAGGGTGTCGACATATTGGGCTGCAGCACTGGTACGCAAGCTGAAGATGGATGATATTGGTGCACCAAGGTCACCAAGGCTTCCTCTATCCTCGAGACCGACACCGGATCTCACAGACCGCAAGCTTCCATCATTGAAGGCTCCAGAACCAGTGACTATCCTTGCTTGTCCACTCGAGAACTCATTAACGGGTGCGTCAAGGCTTCGATTGCCCATATCCATGACCGTGAAGTCTAAGATTGGTGCGATGTTAGGAAAGCTTTGCAGCACGTCTATCCGCTTGGGTGAAATTTGAATGACTTGGCTGTCTCCCTGATGGCTTCCGACGAATACTCGACCTTCGTCCAAGTAGACCAGTGTGCTTGCTCGACTAGTTTCGCCAAGCACGTCGATCTCCAAGCTTTGATAGTCTCCATGTGGTGAGGTATTGACCATGAGTAAGTAGAGCTTCTTGTAGTCGTCTGCTAGTATATATCGTTGCTCGTCCAGTTTGCACCAGGCCACAAACACTGTTGCATCTTCGAGCGGTTGAGAGTCCTGCACCTTATGCTCCCACTCATCAACATATGTTATCCTGGTTTCGCCCACGACTAGGAGACCGTATGTGGGTGCAGGGAGCGGGATCATGAAACTTGAGCCCATTTCTAATGAGCCGGTGACATCGACGCCCTTCTCTAGTTCGGCAGTAGCTGGCTCCTCGTTCGGCCTCAGACTGGGTGAGTACTCCAGCTCTCTGATCTTTATTCGGACCTGATTCTTGCTGTCCTCGTATAGAACTGCAAACATGGGGTCTGTCTTTCCTCGAGGTCCAGTATCTCGTCGATAGAGAAAACAGCTACTTCTCACAAACAGCTCTGGTATCCTGACTTGGATTGGGTCTCCCAATTCTCCAATCTCATTATCGGCGGCTTTTCGCTTGCCCTTACCAGCATGTGCGATAGGCAGGACATTTACGACGCCTTCATAGACCTCCAAAGTCATGAATCGACTCGTGGGGTCAATATGCACTCTATCGCCTGTCTGGCTGTCTCTTGCTGCCTTGTCGGCAATGTCGACCATGCTCTTCTCGGTCTTGAGGTCTTGCCGTTCGCCATCCCAGCTGAGGGTGAAGTAGTTGTACCGATCTGTGCCGACGAACAGATGATCTGTCTGGCTCGTGGCGGGTCGGAGCTTGTGCAGCAAAGTCACCTTGCCGTATATCGCCTTCGAATGCTGGAGGACTAAGGTGGTATCGCCAGGACTTGCCCTCCATATCTCCAGCCTGTTTGCTTTTGCCACAACCAAGTCTTCTGCATCAGGCGATGTAAATGATAGCTTCAGAGCATGCCTAATGCTCGAGGGCCTGTGGATTGGTGCGAGATACGCCATCTCGACTCCGGCGCTGATGAGAGGTCGGGTCTAGCTGCTGAATCGTGGTATTTCTTCGACAACTCCCGATGCGGATTGGTGCTTGTGACCATCTCAGTCCAGCTGGATATTGGCACATGAAAGTGGATACTTTTGTTCAGCGGAAGTGAATGTTCCAACGTCCGCTGTGAGTGAGCTACATCATCAGTGTGAGCTCCATCGCGTCGAACCGCGTCTGCGACCTCGGCTCCACTCCCGGCCCGGCCCGGCCGCCTCGTCAAATGCTTGACCATCACATGAAATTTTGAAGTACACCCACCATTCTTTGCGACAACATCATACTGCCTCATAGTCAAGGCATATCATGGCGCGTAAGTCGCCTATATCGTTGCTTTGCCTGAGAAAGGTCATATTGTTCCCTCACTAACACTTCCCGCCAGCCGTCAAGGAGGAAGACGACCCAGTCATCGCGGAATACGACGTCTACCTCACCCCACCACTCGCCGAACATATCTACCTTCTGCAGTACCCAAATCGGCCTCGATATCGTGGGTACAACAGTCAGTATGGAGCGACGCCAGAGCATATGCGCATCAAGCCGCATAGCGGATACATGGAAATGGACATCAAGCTCAACACAGAGCACAATTTCAACAAGTACATGGGCTTGAAGTGGGGAGATGCGACCAAGGCTTCGAAAGAACTCCATAACATCTCCGGCACGTATGGTCCAGCAGCTGGTCTCGTCCCGGCCAAGGCGCGAGGCTTGCAGCGAGGTACGCTCAAAGACAACGCCCAGAGAGATGTGGACCTTGAAAACGACTTGCAGTCCTTCAAAGAGGCGGAGAAGGACAAGAAAGTACACGACATACAGACTTTGGGAGGTCAGATCATTCGTCACGATGCGGAGACTGAAGCCGGCAAGCCATATTACTTCGTTGGTGCGTTTCAAGGCGACAAGTTGCACTTGACCAAAATTACTGGCACAGTTCAGATGCGACCCAACTTTCATCATCTTGACGCAGAAGAAGAGCGGTCGCGCATAGCATCATCTCGCGCTCAAGCTGATGCTGGAGTGCCTATCACGCAACCCGTCGCCCAGACTTTGAAGCAGAATCAACTATCAAACGAGGACAAGAATAGCGTCGAGTACAAGCTCAAGACAGTCATGGGCGCTGCTGCTACCGAGCGGTGGATTCCAATGGAGTACGTTGACGACGAGTCCGATAGAGCTTATCGTGCTTTTGAGGAGAAGCTCAAGGTCAGAGATGTGGAGAATGCGCCGCACCTGAAGAGTCAGCTGGACAATGACGGCTATCTGGATGCCATTTCCGCGCCGAGACACGATTCGCCGACACGGAGGAGGAAGCGGGCGTCCAGGAAGAAGGAGATGGTGGAGCTCGAAGACGACGAAGACGAGCAGATGGCCGATGTGGACGCTGAGGCTGGAGCAGCTGCGGGCTGAGAAGGCTTGCTGAATCTGCCTACCACTACTCATACTCCGCCAAAGCTGCGACGAGAACGCTCAAATTCTGCTTTTGCACTTCTCAAAGCCGTCATTGGGAGTGATACTCCTTGATCCCACCTGCCGCGCTGGTCACCAGTCCACGCACGCTCCGAAATTGTAGCAGGTTTCGCAGCGTCAGCGAAGTCTTCTGCTGCATAGCGGCTCACTCGTGGACCTTATGAGCCGAGACGCGCTGCAAAATCAGAGCAGCTCATGTCATGGTGGCATGCTATGCAGGTTGCTCGCAGCTCTGACATTGAAGGTAGCTCAGTTCCAAGATTCAATCCAGAATGTTTGATCACACGTAGGTGTAGACCTTCCCACTACAGCCATGAGAGAATGCCAATCACTGATACGGTATAATCAATTGCAGAATCGCGCTTGGTGTCTCAAGTCAGCTCAAGTTTTTCAGCAATCACTGGCGATACCACAATGGCATCAAAGCGTTCCTGTGACGAATTCAAGCGTGGTGAACCTTTAAACGGCATGTGAGGGTTCTCACTATAGTTACGAGAGAATCTCAGCCACTGATTTGGTAAAATTAATTGCAGAATCGCGCTTCGTGTCCCAGGACCAAGTCCACGGCCATCTCGCAAACCGAACGTATTCTCTAGCAACCGCAGGCGATACCACAATGGCATCAAAGCGCACCTGTGACGGAGTCATGCGTGGTGAACCTCTAAACGGCATGTGCAGTGTCTCACTTCAAAGTTTCGCTGATAAACTGGCCCCTCTGCCATGCGCTGACTTCTAGCTATGGAAGCTTCACGTCATCGGCTCCATGAAGCCCTTCACGATGGAGTCGTTGAGAGTGATGCCGGGACTTCTGAAATTCACCATTGTCAATCCCAGCCCTCTTGTTGTGCAGCAATCAAGCAAACAGGCCCTGCGCCCTCAAGTCTCCCATCATCTGCCTCATGATCAGCACGCATTCCACAACTCTTCGAATCACCGGTAATTGAAGAGCCTACCAACCCCTCCGTCCTATAAACACGCGACGAACGAGTATACCAGCCTACAAATCCAAGGGCCTTGAGAAGCTCCGAGTTCTTCTCTTCCAATTCATCTTTCTCCACATCAACCCAGCATCTGATCTTCAAGGCCATGGCTTTGTGAGTCGGCGAGAGCGTCACGACCCATTTCTTCACATCGTCGTAGTGGCCAATGAATGTTGTCTCGGTAGAATGAATAGCAGCGAGTGTGTTGCGGAAGAGGCGATTGATTTGCAGCTGTGGTGGCGGTTTGCAGTCTATGTTGATGGTGATGACTTTGGGAGGCTACATGATTGTGATGAGCGGCCAGGCGAGGTCTTTGGTTTCGTCGTGGGGTCCTTGAGGGAGGGCGTTGAAGAGGCGGGAGAACTCGGTGTCTTTGTCGACGGAGGCCATTGTGTTTCTTTCTTTGTTGGGCTCGATCGATGAAAAAGCGTCTTTATGGAATGTATCTCTCTCGAAGGCGGCAAGAGCTTGACGGGTTGCAAGAAGACGTGGATTGCATCCACTGCCGATGGTAGCGGAAGCTCTGTGCTGTGAAGTCGGTGAGGAAGAACTGGAAGACTGAAGTGTTAGTCTGGAACGTCGGGCATGCCGCCAAGAACCGCATGTGCAATAACAACCCGCCCACCCGAATTTGACACACCAGACCACGGACTTCAATTCTCGATCTTCTCTCCAACCTCACACCCCTTCCCACCCACCAGAATCTCGCACCGCACCATGTCTCAGCCACCACCACCACCACAGAGAACACTGCGTGAAAACCTCGGATCCCTCCCGCAAGAACTCTACGACAAAATCTTCGACGAGACCTTCGCCGCCCCAAAATCCATCATCCACATCACCCGCGAGACTGTGCTTCCCGACGACAAACTCCGCAAAGTCAGTCGCGCCACCAGACAGAAGTACTTCCAGTCGCTTGGCAAGAACACCATCTTCGTGGGCCAATGCAGTATCGTGGGACTCTGGCTTTGCCGCATAGACTGGAGCCGGGCGATACGGGATATTCGCGTCTTCGTGGAGCATGGCGAGAGGACTTGGCCTGTGAGATTGTCGTGGTCAGGCGGGAACTGGGATTGGGGTAAAGCCAGGCTGAGTGCCTGGTGTATGGCTCAGCAGTTTCGTTACGAGGCGGACGTAAGTGTTTCGCTCTGTTGACGGTTGCGTTGGCTTTGTACTGACAATATGTGCAGATGATGGCTAGTTTGGAGGGCGCTTGGGAAGGAATGGAGGACGAGAACAAGAGCCTCGCTTCCGCTCGATCCTGGTCTTCGATGGCAAGGGAGTCGGAGCTGGGTGGCTGTATTCATTGTAACAAACTCCGAGCGCGTGCCTCTCAAGCTCAGACTTCTCAGTGCCATTTCCCCCGTCCAGCATCATAAAATCAGTCCCGAGCAAAAAGCCACTTGCCCAACAAGACTGGGAGTCCTTACTCGACAAGTGTGTGTAAGAGCTAGGTGAGTAGACGCTTTTGTACAAGGCATGACTCCAACAAACGTGGACGACTAAGGCGGCAAATTCAGAGACGGCGACATTGTGTCATCGCTGTGTCTCGGAGCGAGGATCATCTAAGCTAGGTGAGTACGCGTTTGCGTACAAGGCATGACTCCAACAAATGCGGACAACCAAGGCGGCACCTTCAGAAACGGCGACATGGCTTCATGGCTTTGTCTCGGAGTGAGCATCGTCCAAAGCACTGCTGACACTTCTACCTACCTTATCACTTTTACGTAAGTATACCTCTATGTATAAGGCACGACTCCAGCCGACTGTGTGCGACTGAGGCAATCGTGTCAGAGATGCCAGCACTGTCTCACCACTGTGATTCGGAGCAAGCATCGTCAGAGAAAATGCTAACCCTGATACCCATTTCTTTTCGGTGTACATGACGAGAAAATCCTTGGACATCACATCCGTACGAACCTTAGAACATCTCCGCCGCCTCCTCGAGTGCCTACCGCGAGAGTTGTACAACGTTATCTATCTACGACGCAACATTCACAGCTCCTTCAAGCATCATTCGTATCGCCGGCGACACCAAGATGGAGTTTTTCAACCTGACTCAAGTGGACTCTACGTCCCGAGCCAAGTACATCCAGTCGCACAGCACCAACACTGTGTTCATCGGCTGTCAAAACGTCGTAGGACTCTGGCTCGGTACTCCAGAGTGGCGGGATAAGATCCAAAACGCTCGAGTCTTCATTCGTTATGGAGAGCATTGTGGCGATATACTCTTTTTGCCGTGGAATCTTGCGGCTTTGGAGTTACTCCGACGCAGAAGTGCCAGGCCCCTCAACTTCGAGACAGAGGTGCGTGTCAACTTTACCGTTGCCTCCATCCCCGCGAGTGATCAGGTGCTGAGATGCTTCAGCTGGTGGAAAGTCTCAAGACCTGCCGCAAGGGGCCTGTCACGGTCAGAAATGTATGAGATTCCATATGGATCGAGGGCGGTCGACACGAAGGTCTGATCTTACAAAGAGACTACGAAGAATCGCACGTGGCGACCGGCGGGCTCTCATCGGGATAGCCAGGCAAGGCATGGCGGCGAGATTATGTGTATTGTTGCCCTGAAGGAGCCCGCCTTACTGCTGCCGCCTCGCTCAGGGGCGATAGACGTAGCAGCAAGAGACATGGACGTCATATGCACTCTACTCTTTTGCACCAAATTGTAACATAACTGTTGATGAATAGCACCAATTCGCCACACGCAATGTGTAAGTATCCAGTAGCAGTCCATCGGCACCCACTCCAAACTTGTTCTCTTGGACGCGCCCCTCAAGCTCCAAGATTTCCTCTCCTCCCCTTCGTCCTACCTACGCAGCACCCAAATGCGTCGAGCTGCATCCACGAGCATCTTCAGAGCGTCTTCTTCTTCCCCTCACACCTCTTGGCCGCTCCACCAGCAAGTGATGCTCATGGTCGGGCATTGGGAGAGACAGAACCCGGCGTCGTACTGTCCGACTAATGACATGTTGGTGAAGCTTTTGCGCCCCTGCCGGCGCACTTGAATAGCTGTCGGCAGCTTGGATTTGCTATCGAGGCTTGTATGTGGTGATGTGCGAGCATACTCTGGAGGAGATCTGGCGGTGAGGGAGGGTTGAGATGAGGTCGCGGAGCTTGTCTGATTCGTTATCAACTTCTGTTGTCTTCAACTGGCGGATCTGGGGGTCTTGAAGCCGGAGGTTGAGTCCGAATTGACGGTGAGTAGCATCTTAGCCTCTATAAGGGGACCCGGGTTTCTCGCTGTTCGGGATATGTAATGAACGTAGGGGGACTGTGTCTCGAGTGAGCAGTGTTTCAAGTAAGAGAGCTTCAACTGGAGCCTACTGATCTCGTTTGCACATGCCAGTCTAACGTCACTTGACCTCAGGGACGTGATTTCTAGGCAGCCTGGCACCAACTGTCATATGCACGGACATAAAATTTCGCCACCGCCAGCTTCAATTCCAGTAGCAACGCACAGCTTCATTTCAACTTCCCCCCAACACTCCAACACCACACTATCGCATTGCACCCATCCCACGCCGCAATGTCTCAACCAATCCCGCCACCCACCCTCCACGACCTCGTTCAGTCTCTCCCACAAGAGCTCTACGACGAGATCTACGACCTGACCTTCACCCCAGCCACCAAAGTCGCCCAGGTCAAGATCAGCCGCAAAGGCAAAGTCAAAATCCCTCACCTCAGTCTCCTCCAAGTCAACCGCGCCACAAGAGCCCGCTACATCAGCGCTCTCACCCTCACCGGCGAGGAAGCCGTCACGAAGAAATGTGTCGAGAAGATGCCCGCCGCCTTGCGCCGCCAGCTCAAGGACGTCCGTACCTTTGATCACAAGGGAAAGCCACGGCACGGTGTAGGTCGTGTTTGCTACAGGCGCCAATCACTCCACTATCTGGAGCAGGAATTGAATGAAGGGGTGTGGAAGAGTTTCAGGTTCGAGAGTCAGGTAAGTAATCCGTGCCGTTCTGCTTCGAGAGGATGGTACTGATGAGAGGTAGATGACTGCTAGCTTGAAGCTGAACGAGTAAGCCGCATGCTCAGGGCCATCGAGGCAAGGAGAGGGCGGTAACAGTGACGCGATGACCTGGGAACCGCAAAGATGTGTGGAGCGTCCGGGACACCGAGGGAGGGAACGAGAATGGCTCACCTTGGAGTAGTTCTAGAAATGCAAAATGAAGTGTTGCCTTTCTACTACTGCTTCCAATTTTCCATAACTGTCTAAGGTGATGAGGTCTGCTTACGAGGCACTAGGCGATTATAGCACTCTAGAGCGAGCGTCTTAAGCTACAATGCTAAGTTACTCCTTATCATCGCTTCCGTTTCCTATAAATATCCAAGGTAATAAGGTCTGCTTAAGAGGCATTAGACGATTATAGAATTCTAGAGCGAGCGTCTAGAACAGAACTACTAATACAACGTGTTACTTCCTACCACTACTCCTTCCCCTTCCCGAGAACCATCCACGACTGTGAACTCCGTGTCAAAATCTCGAATAGCGGGACTCTAGAACTACAACATTGCGGCAGGTATCTCCTCGAAATTCCTTCCGTCTCTTATGAATGTCCAAGGCCATGGGCTCAATCTGCAAGGCATTAGAAGACAATGGCACTTCAGAGTGCTCGGCCAGCACTGCAAAAGAAATAACCGCCCACCTGCTCAACTCACTACCGCTTCCGTTTCCCATGAATATCGAAGGAGATGAGGTCTGTTCGCGAGGCACTGAACGATAATAGCACTTCGAAGCGATAATTCAGTCACCCCAACATCGAGAAGCTCTGCAAATTATCACATTCTCTACTCAATCACGCTACCCTACATCAATAAGCCCCCACCCTCTTTTTCCACCCATCCATAGGACTATTCACAACCTTCTCCATCCCCGTCTGAATCACCGGTCCAGCCACAAGCTCCAACCCCTCAACCTTCGCACCCCCCTTCTCCAGAGCCCAAAGACTGACCGCAACATAGTTACTCCCACGATAATCGAAAATCCCCTCGGGAACAGGAAACGAGTCCTGCGGTCCGATATTATGCACATACTTCCCAAACTGGTACCCATTGACGAAAATTTGTGCGCGGTATGCGGTGGCTAGGGTGCCCGTGGTGGTGCTGGAATTGGCAAAAGAGAAGGAGAGAGGGATATCGTAGCCTTCGGGCAGATTGAGGTCGAAGGACGTGGTGTAGAAAGCTACGCCGGCGGAGGTGAGGCCTTCGGTTGGGCCGGGGCTGGATTTCCAGGAAGAGGTGGGAGAACCCGGGAGATGGTAGCCTTGGCGTTCGGCGTAGAGGCCGCCTTCGTTGAGAGGGCCGCGAGCGCGGTCTTGGTAGTCTTCGCCTCCGAGGTTGCCGGTTAGTTTCCATTTGATGTCGGATTTCTCGTAACCGGAGAGGCTGTAGTCGAGGATACCTCTGGGCGCTTTCATTTCGCTTGTGCCGGCTCGGAAGTTCTCGTCGAGGCCCATGTTGTCGATGAGGATGGTCAATACGGCAGAGCCTGAAGTGGCGGGGAGGGTGTAGGTTGCGTTCCAGTTTGTGTAGACGTCTGCTCCAGCGAAAGAGCCGATGAATATGTCGTTCAGCCAGACGGAGTGGCCGAAAGCAGATCCACCTTGAGTGGCCAGGAAGAGGCTGGACTCTTTGCCCTTGCCGGTGAAGTGGCCACGATAGAGCAGGCTGCCGGTGTTGAATCCGTAGTCGCTAGCATAGAGTGACGTCGGAGTAGTCAGGTTTCGGTTAGTGTTGTTGCTGTAGGTCAGATCAGCACTCTTCCAGGCACTATCATCGTAGTCGGCCTTGATCTCCGGGAGACTGTCGATGACTTTCCAATTGCACGAAGAAAGTTTAGGGATGGTGATGCTTGGCTTCGTGTATTCGGCCGTCGCCAACACTATACCACCACCTTGCTTGAAGGACACCTGCTTGCCATTGAAGGTCAACTTTCCTAATGGCTCTGGGGCTCCGCCGATGATGTCGAGGGCAGAGGTTGCGTTGAGATCCCCGCAAATGTGCATGTCGCTTCCTTCAACCTTTGCCGAGCGCACTAGATATGGACCATGGATGATGGGCGAGGAAACCTGGGGTTTGTAATCTGTATCGGCTGTCCAGAACGTATACGCAGTCTGGCGATCAACAATGTGGATCGCCAAGCCGTTGCTGAATGAGACGAGTCGTTTGCCGGAGCTGGTGTCAAACTTGAGCACAGTCGCACCGTTCTTGGCAGCAATCTCGACTCCTTCGCCTAACGACAGCTTAGCATCGCCAGATCCTATGACAGCGAGCTCGTTTGTTTCCCCAGGACCAGTGTATATAACGAGCACAGTCTTCTTGCTGTAGCCAGAAGTGTATTGCTTCCACGTGAAAATCTCAGCAGTTGAGTAGAGAAGGTTGAAGCCACCGACATCGTAGTCAGTAACGTATATCTTGGAGTCTCGGCCGTGTAGTGATAGACTACCACCAAGCTGTGGAATGGTGATATTTCCCTTGCTGGTTGGGAGCGTGATCTTGTACTCAGTCGTGTCGAGCGAGTTGTAGGCCCCATGGCGCACCACGAAGAAGTTTGTGACGTTGCCAAGCAGTGCGGTCGTGGCAAGTGCATTATTGCCGGTGTACGAACCGTTCGCATTACTGTTGTTCTGGGCAATGGCCGTCAAGTATGCAGGCGATGCTTGGAGAAAGCTTGCCAAAAGCTTGGCTTGAGAGTACTTCTCACGATTGACAAGGCGCTCCTCGGCAATGACAGCACCATAGTCGTAAGAAGTGTAGCCTCCTGGATGACCAAGGTTGCCCCAATTTGTGCCGCCATAAGTCATGTAAATGTTGAAGATTGTCACTCCGAAGCTGAAATCGTTCTTGTAGAAAACTCGCTCGAATTCGGATCCCAGAAGAGCTAGACATTTATCAAATCCAGGGCCGCCCCATGGATCGAAGCTACCGCCTTGAAATTCGACAAGTGCGTAAGGAGTGCTGGAGCTTTGGTTGAGGTGGACGTTGTGGTAGTTCGTGGGAAGACCGTTATCAGGCCAGATGTACGGATTCGCGCAGTCGAAGCCCAAAGGATATCCGTCATGGCCTGAGGTATTGATCAGCATACGTGTAAGAGATGGGGCTGAGGTAGCAGTATGCAAGTCTCACCATAAATGTCAACTGTAGCATTGTACCTTTGTGGAGGTCCTGGCGCAAAGTAGCCATTTGGGTGCGCATCGTTCGAGATGAAAGGCACAGTTATCCCACCACTTCTGTACTGATCCTCAACTGCCTGCCAGTAGACCGAGTCCGGGAATTCTGGCGTTATCGCAGTGGCTTGCGAGTACTCGTTCTCAGGTTGAAGCAGAATCACTGGGCCTCCTTCCGTGATCTGATGCTTGGCGATGATTCTCGACATGCTCGCGATATAGTTGGCCGTTGCTGCAAGGTATCGAGGATCTCTCGTTCGCACCTTTCCCGCATCACGCTGTAGCCATCCAGGATATCCACCACCAGAGGCTTCTGCGTTGATATACGGTCCCGGACGAGCAAGGATGTAGATTCCTGCCTTCTTGGCTGCATCGAAAAATGGCTCGAGGGCGAAGATTCCTTCCGCCGAGAAATCGCCTCTCTTGCCTTCAAGAAGTGCCCAATGGAAATAGACTGAGACGCCGTTATACCCCATCGCTCTGATCTTCTGGAATACGTCTAGCCAGAGCGATACGACTGGTAGTCGGAACGGGTGAAATTCGCCCGAGTAGAACAGAACTCTCTCGCCGTGCACGAACAACGAGTGCTGTGGTGATCAGCATGAGGAGCTTCTCACATCGTCGCCATCCAACTCACCTCGTCCCACGTCACAATACTCTGGAGTGGCTCACGCCTCGGGTAAGGCCTGATCATCGTGTCTGGCTTCCCACCTATCGCCAATGCCGCTGTTTGCACCGCCGCCGTCGCCAGCAGCGCGGCCTGGTAGATCTTGCCGAACAACATGATGTCTCTCTGGGTTCCGAAGCTCCCGCAATGGCAGTGTCCTGACTTCCTGTACTCGGTGACTGCTTCTACCGCTGGCGAGTAGAAGGTAAGTAAGACTCGCTCACTCACCTGGCGGAGGCATCGACAACAATATCAACAGCCGCTCGCTCCGTCATGGACCGAGTCTGCGATCATCTCGCAAGTTTTCTCGGCGGCAAACACCGCTCACAGGCCACGAAAGGAAGCTTTTGCTGATGATCAGGTACCGCACGCGGAGTTGACCAGGGCGAGCTCCAGCTGTGCTGCTGGGTGATGTAACCGGCAGAACTCACCGCAAGGGACGAAGGCGGGGCGTTGCATTCAATCGTTTCTTCTCCACTGCCAATGCATGTCATTTGTTGTTGGCTATTGCAGCCGTATTATTATTACGGGTGCCAACACGAGAGCGAGAGTATGAGATATAGAGTAAAAAAGCTGAGGAGTTCTTCCGGAAGCAATGTTGTAGTATCATGACGACGACAACATCGGGATGTGGAGGAATCGTTCCCCTCTAATAGTTCTACTGTGAATCCTTCCTTCTGCTGCATTGATTGTATCTTGTGGTAAGCTGGAGCAAGTATCTCAAGCAATGCTATCTGCAGACTACGATCTTGTGGATGCGGCGCTCGATGTCCTGGCATTTTACGGTGAGGTCTGAGAAGAGCGCATCGTTGTAGGAGCTGCTGTCGGTCAGTTCTGTTGATCTTGCGTGAGCAGGAAATAGTGGACTTACTCGCGAAGGCCGTTGACGAAGGCGTCGAAGTTGTTTTGCTGGCCTGTATCGTTGTCGGAGACAGACACGGTGGCGAGTTGTCTTTGAAGGACCCCAGTCTCGAGCTGCCAGCAGTCAGTCTGTTCAAGAAAAAGTTGTGAGCGTGATAGCGAGGTTCTTGGCACGATCGTTTAGTTGCCTATTTAACGGCGGAAAGGGACCTACCTGTTGTCGCCGTTTCGTTAGACTACCGCTTTAGTCAAATGGATTATAGCGCCTGTTTGATTAGATTTCATTTGGAATTTAACTAATTTGCTAGTAAAAAATATATATAGAATACGAGAAACGAGTTTTCTTAGCGTACCTATAGAAGTAGGAGGTATATATCTAAATTTAAAGGAGGATAATAACTATATCTAGAGGCTTCCTATAGGCGATAGTAGTATAGAATAGAGACGTTTAGTAGGTAGTTATATTTTACCTATATAGGTAGATTAAATTTAGCTAGGATTTACCTTCTATAGCTTAGTATTATTAATCTTATAATCCGGTTTTTATATAAACTTAACTAAACAATCCCTAGAACTAGACTAAATACGCCTTATTTAATTAAAAGCACGAGTCTAATAAAGAAGACTTAGAGCTTATTTAATAAAAAATAGTAGACGAATATAGCGTTTTTAATTAAAGAGATCGAGATTTAATTAAATATAAACGGGCGATAATATATCTTATCTAGTATCTAAGAGTTCGGATATAACCTATAGGTAAGGAAAGAATCGTAAAGCTACGCTTTAGAATAGTATCGACGCTACCTTCGTTCGACCGCTATCTATCTAAAGAGAAGAAACTACTTAGTACTAACTACGCTCTCGAAGCGCCTACGACGGCTTAATTATAGACTATCTAATCTTCGTAGTAGATCTACTTCCTAACTAGTACTTAGAATTAATAAGGTAAAATTTAAAGTAATTATAACTTTCGATAAGACGTATAACTATCCTAAATACTAGTACGCTTTTTAGGGGATTATTCTAGAAGACGAGTTATATACTTATATATATAAAGCGCCCCTATAAGCTAGCAGATACTAGTAGCTCTATAGGCTCTAAAAGCTATTATATAGAATAGGAACTATTTTTAAGCTAAAGAATACCCTTTACCGCTATAGCTATACTATCTAACTAGTAGTTAGGGAGTCTTCTACGATATATAACTCCGCTAAGGGTTTAGGTAGTAGTCGGTACGTTATAGATAGTTATATAGTCTCGAGGGCGTATATTTATTATTACTAATCTATCCTCTTCTTTCTACTATAGACCTACTTATAGGTAAATAATCTCGAGTATAGTAATAGTAAAGGAAAGGGAATCTATAATCTTTAAACGACGAGTATAGAGAAGTAACTTTAAGGGAATAAGAAGGATAATAAGACGATTCGAAAGGGAGCCCGGAGGAATAAAATAGTTATTCTATATACTATAGTTATAGTAGTCGAGTAGCTATATATTACGCCCGAAACGTCGCGATCTACTTTAATCCTATCTACTTAACTATCGGTCTCTATATACTACCTCTTAAATTTCCTCCTAAACCCTAGTAACTAGACTCTCGAATTTTCCGCCTTTTTAGGACCTTATAGAGTTTAAAAAAAAGAAAAAAAACTTTATAAGGAACTAGATATATAGAAGAGTTAATAATAGTCGCAGATTATTAGAAGTTTTCTTTAAGAATAGAAGTTCTAACACTTCGTTAAGAGTCCTTACTACTAAAGCCTAGACGGAGGAAAGTACTAGAATAATATCTAGCGACTCTCACTACTACGGCTCTACGGCTATCGTATAATTAGAGGTTACGAAAGAAACGGCGATCGATCTACTACGATATATTTATTTTCTAGTTCTCGGACTATATATATATTCCTAGCGAAAAGGCTATTACTTAATATAGACAATCGAGAAAAGAAGAAGAATAAGTTCTATTAGCAATAATACTCTTCTCGATGTTAGAGGCTTTGCTATTAGGAGGCGGCGCGCCGGAACCCTAACGAGCTTGTATTTCCCTAGACTCGGACGCAACGGACGCGGTTTAAGCGTTCCTAGGCGCCGATTATCTAGGGGTTAAAAACTATAGCCTAATCTCTCTCCGGAGATTGCCCCGAATAAGGGTTGGATAATCCTTGCGGAATAGGTTCGTACTTTATAGAAGGACTACCTCGATTTGCATCCGCGAGCGCCGATATATATATAGGTATGTTTTTAGATAAGGGAGTGCGGATAGAGAATCTTATCGTCGGTCTGCGAAATCTCTGCTTTGCCGTACTAACGATATTAGGATATCTAGGTGTTGCTTACGGTCGGGAATTCCGGAGCACTTATTAAAGGCCGTAGATAGAATACGTAATAGAAAAAGAGGTCGAGAGATATACAAGGTTTATATCCGTACCTATAGAGAGAGCGAGCCGCCTGCGCTACGGGTTAACTAGGATAATGCAGCATCTTATAGCAAAATATAATCGGCTAGTGCTAAGCGGCTATTTAGCAAGTGCTTAGTAATATACCTCCCCGGGTAGGTTAAGTGCCTATTCCTAATAGAGTGCCTTGTTTTATACGTAAATCGCGCTCTTTTTTAGGTACTAGTACCTCGCGTCGCCTAGACGCGTACTTAGAATAACGTGTTTATAAATTTTTAATAGTATAGCGAATTCGAGGTATTGTTATCGTTACTATATCTTAAGTCCTTTACGAGTTATCTATTCTCGGCGATTTCTTCTAAGATATTAATAAGCCTAATATTAATAAGCCTAAGTCGCTAGTAGATAGTAGTCTCGGTAATAAAGAGGTCGATTTAGAGGGTTTAAACGACGAGGAGCGCCGTAAGTACGAGCTCGAGAGGCAGGCGTAGGCGTAGGCGTAGAAGGAGGGTACTAAAGAAGAGGTAGATCTCGAGGAATTAGCGACTTAGGTAGTAGATACTACTATCGAAGACTCTACTATCGAAGACTCGGAAGATAATAAACCTAGACTATTATTAGCTCCGCTAAAAGACGACTACCGCTCGCTTAACGAGGCTATTACTACTATATAAGAACACGCCTTTAAGGCTAGTTACTACTAGCGTATTAAGTTTAGAAACAAGTCGAAATTGCCTTAAAACCGCGGTCTCTAGGTATCTCGCTATCTTATCTATATATAGGGTAATAAGCCGCTAGTAAGAGAGAATTTCGTACGTAAAGGGGCTAGCTCTATACGAGTCGGTTGTCTAGTGTCGTTATAGTTGCGCGCCTACGATTTAAAGAGCCTACTTAGTCGCTAGTAAGTCGGAAATGTTAGTAGAACCTATAACTACGATATAGTCTATAGCGCTTAGTTTGCGCCGCACCGTCGCTACTAGCGTAACGAGGCTATATAGAAGGCTATTATCGATAATCTAAATGCTAATACGAGTGCGTATACTACGCTTAGTCGGTTAATAAATAAGGCAGACTATAAGTACGAGAAGTCGCATTTGTTAAAGGCACTCGGCCGAGATTCGGTCGATACTAAATCTTAACCTATTTAATACTTAACTAATAACAATACCTTCTATATAGGTATTTAGGTAGTTAGAGACCTTATTAACGTCCGCTAGGCCGCTCGGAAGGCTACGTAGGGCGATAAGACTATATCTAAAGCCCTATTCGAGCTACTAGACTAGCTAGGTTTCTACTAGAAGAAGGAGGTAGATTCAAATAGTAAACTAGACAAATTGCTCGTTCTTAACCCCTAAATAGCCGAGTTATATAGGCTATATCCTAAGTACCTTATTATCGACAATACCTATAAGACAAACAAGTACAACCGTCTACTTTTAAATATAGTAGTAGGTACTAGAGTAGGAGACACTATTCTACTTAGATACTATATTATAGGTAACGAGGATAAAGCTGCGTTTACGTAGTTTGCTAAGGCGTTTAAAGAGCTAAGTACTAAGCATAATCTACTACTACTAGGCTTATAGGTTACTAATCGAGACCGTAGCTATATAAATGCTCTTAATAAGGCCTATCTACGTATACCGGCTCTTATCTGCGCCTAGCATATGTTTAAGAACGTATAGGCATAGGCTCGGAAGCTAATACCTTAGAAACAGGTACTTAATAAAGAGACAGGCAAGAACGAGTAGCAAGACGATCTAG